GGGGGGGGGGGGGGTAATCCCTTTAAGCTTAATTATCTCAATCCCTGTAAATGAGATCAAAACGTGGTTCACTAACAAAATGTTCCTCAGATTATCAGCAACATTTTCGTAGTTGACCACTTTTTGATATCTTTCCCAGGAACCAAGATAATTAGGGTCAAAGTTATGGGATCTCCCAAGGAGGGAGAGGTAAAAGGGGAAGGGGCATTCTAATCGCGTGGTTACGGTATCGAAATTCAGAATTCANTGGCGTANATCTCCCCAGAAGCTTAATTTTCGAAGAAAAGTGTTAACTACAAATATGAAGCTCTAGTTTTGTTTAGTATACTCTGAAAATTTCAAAAGAATTGAAAAAGTTTGAGTTAGATTTTCCAAACTCTGAATATTGGTATTTTATTTTCCTCCATTATTGAAAAATTCCCAAAAAACAAGTTTGCTTGGTTCCCTTTACTAAGAAAAAATATGTGATTTTTTGCATTCAAAAGCTAAAGAATTCTAATCCAAGTATTATCCCACCCCATGCATGTGACTTTGTACATTTTTTCTTCGAAAATCTAATCCCATTTGTTTTCTTTATTTTATATTGTCAAAATCTCAAAAATTCCTCTGATTAATCTTGTTGTTGACAAGTTGAGACCTACCTATGTAGCTGAAATAACCCAAAATTCATTTTTTTCTAAAAATCTGAAATTCTAGATTTCTCAATTTTATGAAATTTGAAAAAATATCAAATTTCGGAGATTAAAAAAAGTGGTTCAAACTTTTTCGATTTTTCTGAAAATTTCAGACTATACTTAACAAAACTAGAGCTTCGTTTTTGTAGTTGACAATTTTTTTGTGGAATCAAGTCCTCGGGAAATATGCCACGTGGAAGAGGGCATACCTGGAGGTGCGCCACTCCGCAGAGCGCCACCACCTCCCTCCTTTACCTTGGGGTGGGAGGTGGAGAGGTGCACCACCCTTGGTGTCTTCCACGTGGCATATCTCTCTAAGACTTGATTTTCCAAAAAAGTTGTCAACTACAAAACTGAAGTTCTAGTTTTGTTTAGTATACTCTGAAATTTTCAGACAAATCGAAAAAGTTTAAAATAGTTTTTCAAGCGTCCCAAGTTATCCATTTTCGACAGCCATTTTTTTCAAGTTTCAAGTTTTTGAACCCAATTTTTCGGATGTTTCTCGAATTTTTTATGGTGTAAATCCGCGATTTTCAAATTCTGTGAGTTTCAAAAAATGCTAGAAAATCAACTTTCAGACAAATCGAAGTAGTTTAAGATGCGTTTTTGGGATTCTCAAAGTGGGCCTTTGCTAGCTTTGAAGGTGGGATTTTTGAACATAATTTTGAGCTGTTTCTTGCGTTTCTCAAAATTTCTACGTATGATTTTTGAATTCAACTTGTTTGAAAATGCTAGAAAATCGATTTTCAGAGAAATCCAAGTATTTTCAGAACCGTTTTCAGATTTTTGAATGCGAATCCATGTTTTTTATAGTATTCTTTTTTTGAGCCTACAATTTCGGATCTTTACAGAATTTTAAAAATTTGAAACTATGATTTTCAAACTCAGCGTATTTGAAAATGCTAGGAAATCAATTTTCAGAGAAATCCAAATATTTTGAGATGCTTTTCCAGATTCTCAAACTTGATTTCTCCTTTTTTCTGATTCCTCTGTTTTTCTTTTTCGCCATTAGAGAGAGAAAAAAGAAAAAAGCAATCCATGGTGCGGTAGATGGGGACGCTGTCCTCTTCTTGCTCTTCTCTTTTCCTCTAACCACTCTCTCCAATTTGCACACTCTCTCGCTTCTGTGAGTGTCAAGAAGAAGAAGAAGAAGCACTCAAACTCACACCCCACAGAGATCAAGAAGACGACGTTTCTTGCTTTTCTCCTTTCTCTCTCTCTCTCTCTCTCTCTCTCTCTCTCTTTTCTCTGCGTCTCTAATCTCTGGTATCCATGGATACCCCAGCCCTCTTTTTCTCTTTCCCCGTCTTCTTTTTGTTTTTTCTGGAAATTTTTTATTTTGACTACAAACTACAATTTTCAGGTAATCGATCCATCTCGGTATCCAACCATTACCTATTTACCCCGGGACATTTTTGAAAAATCCGAATAAAAATCTTAAAAAGGTTTGTATCCATCTGTGTGTCGGTTTATCCAGTTTCTTTTTTTTCCTACAGTAATCCTGACCAATCTACAGTAATCCCTACAACCAATGTCCAGATTGCGCCACAATCCGTACCCACACGGTTTGTCGTACAACCCATATGCTGGCAGCAGGTAAGGTGTCTTCCACGTGACATATCTCCCCAGGACTTGATTTTTGAAAAAAGTTGTCAACTACAAAAATGAAGCACTAGTTTTGATTAGTATATTCTGAAAATTTCAGACAAATTGAACAAATTTGAGTTAGGTTTTTAGATGCTCAAAGTTAGCCATTTTTTGAAATTTTTTTTTGAAATTTAGGTCAATTTGAAACTCAATTTTCAGTATTTTCTAAGTTGTTTCAACTTGTCAAACTGTGATTTCTGAATTTGGCGTATTTAAAAAACACTAGAAATTCTGTTTTCTAAAAAAAATAAGCAAATTTTAGCCAGGTTTTAAGACAGCGAAAAAATGTCATTTTTGACCGAAATTGCAAAATTTAGGCTTGTTTTGAGAAATTTGGCATATCTCCTCAGGACTTGATTTTTCAAAAAAATTATTAAACACAGAAAAAAGTTCTGCTTTTGATTAGTATATTCTGAAATTTTCAGACAAATTGAATAACTTTGAAATAGGTTTTCACATGCTCAAACTTAGTGGTTTTATGACCAAAAAATGAATTTTTTTTGAATTATTTTTTGAAAATTTCAAGTTTCGATTTTTATGGATTTTGGTCATATGGTACATCAAATTGAAGCTCTTAAACAGTTTTATTTTTTACAGTTTGAATTTTTGAAAAATTTCAGTTTGAAAGAAGTTATAGTGATTCAAAAAAAATTACACACTAAAAAATTCAAAACCCCATAGCTTGGCTAGTTTTCAACCGATTTTTCAGATTTTCAGCTAGAAATGTTTAGAATTTTCAGTTTTTTTTTGAAATCACTCAAAATGTCATTTCAGAATTCCTGCTTCCCTCCCATCGTCGTCTGGAGATGAGTCGTCCAGTGGTGACGACGAGGACCTCGAGGATCAAGATGTCGCTCTTGATGTGGACCTTTTTGGCTATGACGATGCAACCGATTATATGGATGAAATGCTGTAAATAATTATTACAAAGATGGTGATAAGAGCTAGATAACAAAATTTGAATTTTTGAAAAATATTGATTTTGAAAAAAAGTTAGGAGAAATTTGAATTTTTGAGGACAGTTCCGGTTTTCAACCATCTGAATACCTACCCCAAAGTTATACAATCTGAGCGAAAATTTCAGATCATACTAAACAAAACTAGAGCTTCAGTTTTGTAGTTCTCAACTTTTTATGAAAATTGAGTCCTGGGGAGATATGCCAAGTGAAAGAGGGGCACACCTAGAAGCGCGCACACCAGGGGGAGAGGGGAGGTGGCGGCGCACTTCGGACCATTCCACGTGGCATAACTCCTCATGACTTGATTTTTCGAAAAAGTTGTCCACTACAAAAATGAAGCTCTAGTCTTGTTTAGTATATTCTAAAATTTTCAGAAGATAAGAAAAAATTTGAAGTCTAGTTTAATCCAGAATTTTAAAAAAATGTTATTTTCCAGCCAAGACCCTGAAGACCAAAGTTTCACAGCAATTTTCGAACGTCTCCGACGGAGGCATCGACGTGAGAGGGCGATGGATCCACCAATGGCTGTTCCATGGCATGTTCCAACTCAACGGACCACAAGAACAACCCAAAGGACAACTGGAACAGCTACAGCCAATGGGAGAGTGGATAATGATGATGATGATCCAGTATTTGGGATTCAAGCGATTCGAGATATGATTCGTGGGGGATATAGTTCGGAGCCACTGGTTCCAGGAGGACCAGAGCCACAGAATGGAGAGGAAGCAAATGATGAGGATGAGGATGAGGAGGACGAAGAAGTAGAAGAAGAGGAAGAAGAAGAAGGAGGTGAGCAAATCTAGAAAGGCTCAAAATATACCTCAAACTTTTTCAATTTTTCTGAAAATGCCAGTATACTAAAAAGGACATGAGCTTCATTTTTGTAGTTGACAACGTTTTTGAAAAATCTAGGCCTGGGGAGATATGCCACGTGGAAGACACCAAAGAGTGTCACCACCTCCCCCCTTTACCTTGGGGTGGAGGTGAGGAGGTGCACCACCCTTAGTGTCTTCCACGTGGCATATCTCTCTAGGACTTGATTTTTCAAAAAAATCGACAACTACAAAAATAAAGCCCACAATTTGCTTAGTATAATCTGAAACTTTCAGATGATTCGAAAATGTTTGAGCTAGGTTTTCAAATTCTCAAAGTTGGTGGTTTTTCAACTGAAAAACCAATTTTCGGAGTTTTTTTCAAAATTTTATATTCTTAAGCTACATAAATCGTAATCAAATTTTATTTCAAATTGAAGCGTTTAAAAAGTTCTATCTCTTACAATTTGAATTTTCAAGAAATAGTTAATTTGAAAAAAGTTACGAAGATTCAACGTTTTTATGTTCAAATTCAAAAAAATTAGACATCAAAACGTTCAAACCTTTGCAACTCGCCTAGTTTTCCACCGATTTTTCTGATTTTTGGCTGGAAATGTTGAAAACTTTAAGTCTTTTCCTAAATAGCACAAAATCAAAATTCCAGAAGTATCCGAACCAGAAGACGACGGAGAACCAGTGCCGTCAGCAGACAACGTCGCCCGTTGGCTGGGATCTCATTTGGACCAAGAAATGGGAGAAATGGAGATCGAAGAAGGTCAACCACCAGTTGTACCAGAGCCAGCCGAGGGTACACCAGCTGAGCCTGCTCCAGGAGGTGCTCCAGAGGATGACGATGACATGCCAGTACGTCGGAACCACTGAAAACCAGAGCATGTTAGTGTGTATTCATTGTTATTTGAGGTGATTCTGAAGCTGTTGAGAACACTTAAGCGGTTTTTTGAAAATAAGTCTTGTCTGAAGTATCCAAACAACCTTGTAGTACATAGTGATCAGAAGGAAAACCCCAACCCTGACGGTTTTATTTGAAAAATGGCTAACTTTGGAAGCCTACAAAAGTACTTCATACTAATCAGTTTGTTCTGAAAATTTCAGAGTATACTAAACAAAACTAGAGCTTTAATTTTATAGTAGACAACTTTTTCGAAAAACATTTTTTGGGGAGATATGCCACGTGGAAGAGGGCACACATTTTCCAAACTCTGAATATTGGTAGATTTTTTTCCAAGAAATTCGAATTTTCAAAAAAAAAAGTCCAACTTTTTCCCCGAAAGTAAGAATTGTTTGCTGTCTTTGAGTGCTATATCAACTAAAATATGAGAAAACAGACTCAAAAAAGTACAAAAAAAGGAATTAACAAAAAAAAGATTTTATTGAAAAATTGGAAAAAAATCCATTTTTTGAAATGATCTCACATTTTGAAAACAAATGTATCAAAATTGGCAAAAATAATATCGCTAAAGACTTCTTTAATATCAAAAACACTATAAAAAAGAAAAAAGGCGAAAAAACCACAAAAGGATTCGAACTCCGGAGATTACACACACTGGCGCAAAACACATCCCCTACGCCACCGCGCTGCACACCACACAAGGTGTTATAGGCAATCAGGTGTGTGGCGCTTCTTCTAGTGCGTCAGGGGATACGGGGACTTTGTGTTAGAGAATTCCTATGAATTAAAACTACAATTTTGAACCGTCATATCTCGGCTGAAACTAATGGGAGGATCATAAAAATTGGGGGGAGTATTATAAAGGGAAATAGTAACCTTTGCTGAAAACTTGGTCAAATTCTAAAGGTTTTAAGGTTCCGTAAAACCTACGGCGCACTTTGATCCAATTTATCTCAATTCCTGTAAAAGGTATAAAAAAGTTGTCAACTGACAAAATATTTCTTATACTATCAAAAATATTTTATCAGTTGACACACTTTTTTATATCTAGTATGGGAACCAAGATAAATTGGCTCAAAGTGTATATATAGGTAGGCCTTCTATTTTATGGTATTTTAACAGTGTTCAACTACTATATTAGGGTTGTTTTTAAGCGTTTTTCTGTTAAATTGAATCATAAGCAACCTGAAAACTCTTGAAAATCCATAAAATTTGCAGTTCGAAGACTACTATCCACCGGTGAACTTCTCTGCAACATTCTATCTATTCGTCTTGCTTTTATTCATTTTCCCAGTTTATCAAATTGTTCAACATCCCAAAGAACCCCCAGTCTACCATAGAAAACTGTATATTTTCCCACAGGGACACCGTCCATGGACCATGCCTCAGCTAATTGCTTTTAATATCAATATTGTGTTCTTCTTCATCTTCCTACCCGAAACTCTCATTGCTCATATGATTTTGCAGTGGTAGTAGATCAAATAAAGTCAAAAATATTTTTGATCAACCTTGAAACCCCTAATTGCTCCCTAATTATCATTTAATTATCACTTAATTACCCAACCAAATTCTCATAACTTTTTCCATATCCCAAAAATCCAAAAATTCCCATTTTCCCCATATTTTTTAAAAATTGTGATTTTTAACTATTTTTCTTGATCTAATCGATCTCTCTTTCCCCCCAAAATGACTTTCTTGGATTACTGTAGTTTTTAGAATGGAAGATAAATTATTTTTTAAATTCAAATTTACTGCGTGCACATACCTGCGTGCGCGCCCACCAGGGTGGTGGCGCCTCCCCTCTTAGGGGCCACCACCCTGGTACGCGCGCCTTGAGGTATGCCTTGTTCCACGTGGCGTATCTTCTCAGGACTTGATTTGTCAAAAAAGTTGTCAAGTACAAAAATGAAGCCCATGTCTTTTTTAGTATAGTCCCAAGTTTTAAGACAAATGCAATAATTTTGAAATAGTTTGTAGGCGTCTGAATTTTGATGAATCGCTTTTTTTGGGAGGGTCATCCAAATCCTTGTAAAACAGTGCTTCAAACTTATTCGATTTGTCTGAAAATTTCAGATTATACTAAACAAGACAAGGGCTTCATTTTTGTAATTGATAACTTTTTTGATAATTCAGTTCCTAAGGAGATATGCCACGTGGAAGTTCTCTTCCCTTTTGGGGCCGCCGACCACTGGGCGCCGCCGGAGAGGTTCCACGTGGCATATCTCTCTAGGACTTGATTTTTGAAAAAAGTGGTCAACTACAAACATGTAGCCCATGTCTTGTTTAGTAAAATCCTAAATTTTCAGGCAAATTAATAAAGTTTGGTACTATCTTGCAGGCTTTTGAATTTTGGCAAATCAAAAATCCAAAAAATTAAATTTTCTAGAATCGTTGAAATTTTCTAACTCGAGATTTTTTTCCTGGAAAAACTCAATTTTTAACAATAAATATGTGTTTAACAAATGTTAGCTAGCTTTTTTGGTTTTCGAGATATATGCAATTTTAAAAAAGTAAAAATTTTTCAAAAAACAGTTTTTTTCAAATTTCAAGCCTTGATATTTCAATTTCTAAAAATGTTAGAGACAAATAGTTAACTATAAAATTGTGTGAAATTTTATGTTGAGCAATTTGTTAGTTGACAAAAATTAGCTAGCGTTCTTGGTTTTTTAGATATGAGCAATTTTAAAAAAGTAAACAATTTTTCAAAAAAAATTATTTTTTTCAAATTTCAAAACAAAATATTTTGACTTCGAAAAATGCCAGAAACAAATTGTAAACTAAAAAAATGTGTGAAATTGTAAGCTGAGCAGTTTGCTAGTCAACAAAAATTAGCTAGCGCTCTTAGTTTTTGAGATATGAGCAATTTTAAAAAAGGGAAAAATGTTTCAAAAAAAAGTTTTTTTCAAATTTCAAGGCTTAATATTTCAATTTCTAAAAAAGTTAGAAACAAAAAGTTAACTATGAAATTGTGTAAAATTTTATGCTCAGCAATTTGATCGTTGACAAAAATTAGCTAGCGTTTTTGGTTTTTTAGATATAAGTCATTTTTTGGAAAAAAAAAGTGAACAAATTGGAAAATTAGAATATCTCAATTTCTAGAAAAGCTATCAAAATTTGGCAAACTACTAAAATATTTTAAATTTTAAGCCAAATTCAAATTTTTTAAAATAGGCAAAAGTTTTATTTTCAAAAAAATCAAAATTAAAAAAAAAACCAAATTTAAGCAGCTCATATAATCTTCATGGAATAGTATCACACACCCCGAGGGAATTGTTAAAAAAGAGGAGAGAGACTAGAAATTTTAATATGAAAAAGATTGAAAAAGCTGAAAAATTCAATAAATACTAGCACAAAAAATGAATCAAGCAATCAAAATGTCCGGAGCAACGCGAGTGATCTCCTTGAGCATTTCTGGAGCCATTGGAGCACGCATCGTCTCGCGAGCCGTCATCAGGGAGTCACGATTGTAGCGGATAGGCTGGAAATTCAGAAATTTGCTAAAATTTTGAAGAATTTCCGTGAAAAAATCACAAAAATCGGTTGAAAACTGAGAAAGTTAGGGTTTTCTAGCTTTACTGAGGCTTTGAGAATCTTGTAGTTTGTAGTCTAGGCCTCAGTAAAGCGCACATTTTCGTAGATCACTACCATGAGAGTCGTACTGAGGCTAAATGAAAAATGTATTTTGTAGTCCTACTTAGCCTCAGTTAAACACAAGAGGACCACTCTAATAGCTGGAAAACCAGCCGAGTTACAACTATTTGAATTTTTACTGAGGCTTAAACAATTCTTGTAGTTTGTAGTCTGTTATACGAGACTACAAACTACAAAAAATTCCAGATTTTTCTAGGCAAAAATCATTGAAAACCGATAAAAACCGGTCGAGTTAGCGCGCCTTGAATTTTTACTGAGGCTTAGACTACAAACTACAAAATTCTCTAAGCCTCAGTAAAACTTTAAAACGCTGTATCTCGGCTAGTTTTCAACCGTTTTCGCTCTTTTTTGTTTAAAAAGACTGAAATTCCGAAAACTAGCTGATTTTCATAAAACTACCGTACCTCTCCAACCGCTTGTACTTGTTGCGGCTGCTGCTGTTGCACATGAGAAGCGGGTACTGCAGTTGCCATAACTACTGTAGTAGTTGCTGCCAGGCCATCAGCCAAGTTTGGTGTGGATCCATGGAACGTTTTCGACGGTTTCAACATCACCGGCTCCTGCTGATGATGGGCGGTCTGTTGGAGGGGCATTGATTTTCTCCGTTCCTTCTTTTTCTCTCGCTCCTCGGCTGATGGACGGGCTCGGACTCGCAAATAGGCCGATAGGGCTTCCTGGGCCGCCGCCAATAACTCTGGATCGTCACAATGGAAGGTAAGCTTGCCATCTGAAGTCTGCTCGAGTTTAATATCCTCATCGTCTTCATCTTCATCGTCTTCTGGAGATTTTCCTTGGGGATTCGATGGTTGGTGGAGGTCAGCGATTGGCATTGGTGGTGGCATTGACATGTCATTCTTAATAAGCTTTAGATTATACTAAGCAGAACTAGGGCTTCATTTTTGTAGTTGACAACTTTTTCAAAAAATCAAGTCCTGGTGAGATATGCCAAATTTCCGAAACAAGTATAAATTATTGCATTGTGTAGAAAATGAGATTTTTTTGGCTGTCTGATAACCTAGCTCAAAATGTTTCAACTTGTCTGAAAATTTCACATTATATTAAACAAAACCAGAGCTTCATTTTTGTAGTTGACAACTTTTCCAGAAAACCAAATCCTGGGGAGATACGCCACGTGGAAAAAGACATACCTAGTGGCGCACCACTCACCTCCCCCTCCCACCCTAGCAAGGCGCGCCACTAGATATGCCTTCTTCCACGTGGCATATCTCCTTAGAACTTGATTTTTCAAAAAAGTTGTCAACTACAAAAATAAACCCCGTGTATTGTTTAGTATGTTCAAAAATTTTCAAAACAATCTGACAAGTACAAAGTACTTTTTCAAGACACCCAAACTTGGTAGTTGAAGTTGTATCTTTCAGTTGGATTTCGGCTAATTTCAAGAGTCTGGGTCTCAGCTATCAGGTCTCCAATCATTTTGAAAATTTTAAAAGGTGTGAAACAGACCTAGATTAAAAACTTTGCATTCTTAGAATTTCTTGAAAATGTCTAGTTTCTCAGCTATACGCTAATTTCTGAAGGACCCCCGTTTTTGTACTGAAGAAAGGTGTCCTTCAGAAATCAGCGAATATCTGATAATCTAGGGATTTTCAAAAAATTCTGTAAATGCAAAGTTTTCAATCTAGATCTGTTTCACATTTTCCAAAATTTTCGAAGCGATCGGAAACATGACAGCCGAGCTCTAAACCCTTGAAAATGACCGAAAATGACCGTAAACACTCTAATAACACAACCATAATCGTCCAATATGAGCCCATTTATCTCACTTCTTTTGGAAGACATCAAAAAGTAATTAACTAATTAAATGTTGCTGATATCATGATAAACATTTTCTCAGTTGACAACTTTTTGATATCTTTCAAAAAAAGTGAGATATACAAGCTCCAAATGGACGGTCCGGGTGTCGTTCTATTAGAGTGTTTACGACAAATTAGAAAAAATTCACTCACCCTAATCGGACTCATATTTCTGCGAATCGTGTCAATTATCATATCTTTTGCCCTCTCGATATCCTCCATTGTCGATGCCGTGATTGTAAGTGTTCTCTCCTTGGATTTAGCGTCAACCTAGAAGAGTGGCTTGGCGGGAATTCAAAAATTTTGAAATTTTTTTCCAAAATTTGGCATTTTTAGAGTTAAAAAATGCGTAATTTTCGATTTTCACCATAATTAGCTTCTGATTACCCACCTTTTGAAACGAAATGACAGTATTTGTCAACTGCTCCACCGCGGCAACTCTCCGTCCCTTGACACCCATAATTTTTCCGGAATCCGAGTTTCGAATGATCATCTCATGACGTAATTGGAGGGTTTTATTCATTAAATTCGGCTTTTTATTGTTCAAACTTCGTTGTCGAAGGAACATTTGATGATCTGGTGGAAGCATTGAATGTGGTAGAAATGGGTTCGGGGGCATTGGCATTAATGGATTCATCCATGTTGAGGCGGCCGGGATAAAGAATATTCCACCGGGGTTTGCTGGAAATTTAAATATTTTGAAAGAAGAAGAAATTTCAATCATTTTAAGCCAAAAACCAGCAAAAACGATAGAAAACTCGCCGAGTTACGGTGATTGGAAATTTGCCTTCAAAAGTTTTTACTGAGGCTTAGCGAAATTTGTAGTTTGTAGTGTCTAAGCCTCAGTAAAGTTTCAGTAATGTTTGACAGACTTTACAGGCAAGACTATGAGGACTACAAGAACCGGACGGACTACAAACTACAAACTACAGAAAACCCTTACGTCCTCCCCCCATCGGATCCTGGAACATCATTGGATTGGGTGGAACGAACTGCATTGGTGGCTGTGGCGATTGAGGGACTGGTGACGTCACAGATGACGTCATCTGAGCAGATTGTGACGTGGCAGACGACGGTGGGATTCCTACGGTTGGCGCTGGATCGTGTTCTGGAAAAATTTTGAAATTTTGGAGAAAAAATTTTTTCTACTTTGAAGCAGAAAATCTAAATTTCTGGAAAAGCTAGAAACAAGTTATAAACTACAAACATGTGTGAAATTTTATGTTGAGCAATTTATTAGTTGGCCAGAATTAGCTAGCGTATCTGGTTTTTGAGATATGAGTTAAATTAGAAAGTTGACAAAAATTTCAAAACAAAAATTTTTTTGGAATTTTTTTTCAAACTTCAAGCCTACATATCTCAATTACTAGATAAGTTACTGACAAGTTGTCAACTATGAAAATGTGTGAAATTTGAAGCTAAATAATTTATTAATGAACAAAAATTAGCTAGCGTTTTTGGTTTTTGAGATATAAGCGAATTTCCAAAGTAAGAAAATTAAAAAAAAAAATTTTTTAACTTTTTTCTCAAGGTCAAACTTGAAAATCTTGATTTCGGAAAAAGCTAGAAACAATTTGATAACTATGAAAATGTGTGAAATTTTAAGCTGAGCAATTTGCTTGTTAATAAAAAATAGCTAGCGCTCTTAGTTTTTGAGATACAAGTTATTTTTTGAAAATAGTCAAAAAATTGGAAAAATTGGAAAAATCGGAATATCTCAATTTCCAGAATAGCTACTAAAAATTTATCACCTACTAAAGTATTCTAAATTTTAAGCCCAATTAAAATAACTTACGCCCTTCTGGCCTATTCACATAATATTGGCTGTGTGCCAAATTTGTTCTCCAGTTCATGGCTCTCAGCTCGACGAGCTCCATTATCTTGAGACGGCATGGGGTACCGAGTTGTCCGTATCACGGCAGCATGCTTGACGGAGAGAGGTGAACACTTTGTTTAATTCATCTGGAAATTTCAGTTAATTAGGATGGTAATTAGATCCTAATTAAAATTTTGAAAAAATTTCAAAAAAAAATTTTTTTTTGGAATTTTTTTTCAAAAATTTTTTCAGTTTTCAACAGTCATTACAGACTAATTGTATATCAAAAATTGCTCACTTTTATGCGATTGTTCTAGCAATGAACCCGAAGTTTTTAATTGAGCACAGAGTGTGAAAATAGTGTTGGCGAGTTGAGAGGTGAACTGACTGGCACGGACCATATTGTTGATTGTGTTCATTAATTGGAGTTGTTGATCTGAGAATGATTTGGTTTTAAATTCAAAAAATTGAGCATTTTTTGTGCTTCAAAATGAGCCCAAATTCCAAAATTTTGGAGCATTTTAAGGAATTTTAAGAAATTTTGAATTTTTTGGTATTTTTTTCAATTTCAGCCAATTTTTGGAAATTCAGCAAATTTTTAATGGGTTTAGATTTTATTCAATTTTTTGAATTTTGTTTCAAAAGATTCAGCAGTTTTTGGGCTTCAAAATGAGCCCGAATTCAGAAATTTTGGTCCATCTTGAAGATAGTTATGATCTGGAAAAAATTTTTCTGGAAAAATTTTGAAATTCCAAATTTTCTGAAAATTCTGAAATCCTGAAACTAAATTTTTTGAAAATCGTGATATTCTAAAATTCAGATTTTTTCGAAAATCCATAAAATTGGAATTCAAATAGCCCGAAAATTTCAAAAAATCAAAGAAACTGAATTTTTTAAAAGTCGAAAATTCTGAAATCTCTGAAAATTGTGTGTTTTCGATCTGAAATTTTAAAATGCTTCTAAAGAATTTATAATCAGAAGATTAAACGTTTTTTGAGCTTCAAAATGAGCCTAAATTCAAAGATTTTGGTCCATTTTCAGAAAAGTTATAAGTGTTTTTGGGAACCTGTAATAGAAGGACGCATAACTTTCAACTAACTTCTAACTTTGAGCTTAATTATCTCGGTTCCTGTGAAAGATATAAAAATTTTGTCAACTGATAAAATATTTATCACATCATCACCAACATTTTATCAGTTGACCACTTTTTGATATCTTGCATAGAAGCCGAGATAATTAGGCTCAAACTAGACTGGTATTTCAAACTACAGTAATCCCTTGCTTTTCCTTTCCTATTCTAAAAGTTCATCTTCTTCATTTCTATTAAACAAACAAGTGTGATTTTCATTCTCGACATGTTATCACAGTATCAAAATTTCTAATTTCTCTGCGTCTCTCGAATTTTCTCATTATCTCTTTCATTTTTCTAAGAAAACAGGGGCACTGTGTTCTTGTCATGTTTAAGTGGGGGCTCACTTTTGAGCATCTTTATTTGCTGATCGGCTCTCTTTTGGGGGACTTTACAAGACGTTTTCACATACTGTTTGTGTTGTTAAGAAAGAGAGAGAGAGAGAGAGACGGAGAGAAAATTAATGGTTTAATGATTTCGATTGAATAATGGATTAGTTTTTGATTGGTCCTTTGGAGTACAGTAGTGACCGAAAACCAATTTTTTGACTTCCTTGAAGAAAAGACTTATATCTCAAGAACCAAAAAATCTAGCTAATTTTTGTTAAATAATAAGTTGCTCAGCATAAAATTTTACACATTTTTATAGTTGACTACTTGTTTCTAGCTATTCCAGAAGTTGAGATATCAAGGCTTGAAAATTGAAAAATCCCAATTTTTGGATTGTTTAGGTTTTTTTTTAATTTGCTCCTATCTCAAAAACCAAAAAAGCTAGCTAGATTTTGTCAACTAGCAAAATGCTAAGCATAAACTTTTACACAATTCACTAGTTGACATTATATTTCTAGCTTTTTTAAAAATTGAGATATTTTGATTTGAAATTTGAAAAAATCCCAAAAATGTTTTTCGAAATTGTTTTTTACTTTTTTTTTTAAATTGCTCATATCTCAAAAACCAAAAAAGCTAGCTAATTTTTGCTAACTAACAAATTGCTCAGCATAAAATTTTAATCATTTTAATAGTTAACAACTTCTGCCTAGCTATTCCAGAATTTCAGATTTTCAGCTTCAAAATATTCAAAATCCCCTCCCCCTCCAATTTTGGTTTTTATTAGTCCCCAGATCACCTGATCCCTCATTTTCGAATATTTTCTTTAGTTTTAAAGTTTTAAACTCTCAAAACTCGTTGTCGTTTTGACGGATAGATGATATATGAGAAGATTTTGGAGACGAGAGAGTGAGAGACGCAGAGAAACAGAGAAAAGCGATTCGAAGAGCAAAAAATGTGTAAAGAGCTCTCATCTGGCAAAATCGCAGGGAACAGAGGGAGAAAATACATTTTTATGAGCCAGAATTTTTTGATTTTCTAGTTAGCAGAAAAACATACTTATAGTTAAAACAGGTGCTTTTTGAAAAAAATTGTTTCCAAAAAAAATTTTTTTTTGGGAGGAAAATTTTTTCAAACTTTGAAGCTGAAAATCTGGGATTCTAGAAAAGTTAGACACAAATTGTCAACTAGTAAATTGTGTGAAATTTTATTTTAAGTAATTTGTTAATTGACAAAAATTAGCTAGATCATTTGGTTTTTGAAATATGAGCAAATTTAAAAGTGGAGCGAAAAAAACTAAAAATTGGCATTTTTTTCAATTTTCAAGCCTTGATATCTCAATTTCTAGAGAAACTAGCTATAAATTGCTATGTATAAAAATGTGTGAAATTTTATGTTAAACAGTTTGTTAGTTGAAAAAAATTAGTTAGCTTTTTTTGGTTTTTGAGATATGAGCAAATTAAAAAAGTATGAAAAATGTTCCAAAAAATGTTTTTGACTTTTTTCAAATCAAAATATTTCAATTTCTAGAAAAGCTAGAAGCAAATTGTTTACTGCTGGAATGTGTAAAATTTTATGCTAAGCAATTTGTAAGTTAACAAAAATTAGCTAGCTTACCTGGTTTTTGAGATATAACGCATTCCTTAGGAGAAGCTAAAAAACTGATTTCTAAACTTTCAGGCCTAAAATCTCAGTTTCTAAAATAGCTAAATACAAATTAATAACTATGAAAATATGTGAAATTTTATGGTGAGCAATTTGCTAGTTGGCAAAAATTAGCTAGCGTTTGAAGTTTTCGAGATATAAGTCATTTTCCAAAATAGTCAAATATTTGGATTTTCGAAAATTCAAATTCCTGCCGGATCTATAAAAACTCACCAACACTAAGTAGAGTATTCCGGGGCGCCTGCGGCGCGCCAGTTTGCATTTTGGCGCCAAAATCGGCGGCCACATCGTAATTATGTAGCATATTGTTGAGATTCAGGGAGGTTTGGAGGGGAATTCAAACTTTTCAAAAAAAAATTTTTTTTTGAATTTATTTTTCGGATCTTTGATTCCAAATAAGGTCGTGTGCAATAAGTGAAAATAGGTACTGTAGCAGGTGGGGAAAAGTAGAAGAATATTCGTGGAAATTTTCAGCCAAATTTCCAGAACTCGTTCGTTTTTAGAAAATTTAAAATCGCAAAATTTTTGCGGGGAAAGTTTTCGAATCGAGAGAGAGTGAAATGGGACACAGCAAAACCTCAGTCTCAGCGAACACGGACCGCCCGTTTTCTCTGATTTCTCTAGCACTCTCTTATCTCTCGTTCTATCTCTCTCACTGCTCCGAAGCTCCGCCCACTTTTTCTGTGTTGCTTTACAACCGAAATGATGATAGTGCTGATGGTGATGATGATGATGCACCGAAATGTGTTAGAGAGAGTGTTCAAAAATGAGAGAGTGTTAGAGAAAAAGAGAGAAAATCGCCGATAGATTATGCTAATTTTATGAAGGGAAGCGAATGCTGATGATTTAAACGACGAAACATTTTGTTGACTAGGGATTTTTAGCTGAAAATCAGGAAAATCGGATAATTTCAGTCATTTTAACGAAAAAATGAGCAAAAACGGTTGAAAACTGGTCGAGATACAGCGTTTTCAAATTTTACTGAGGCTTAGGAAATTTTGTAGTTTGTAGCCTAAGCCTCAGTAAAACTTCAAATCGCGCTATCTCGGTTAGTTTTCAATCGTTTTTTCTCATTTTTTTGCGGAAAATAACTGAAACTTTTGTATTTTTTTTAGTTTGTAGTTTGAAATCGAATCGAGTAGTTATTTTTGACTAGAGATTCGTTTTTCAGCATTTTTTTTCAGAATTTTTTTGTTGTAAACTTCAAAAATCAACAAATCATCAAAATCTCAGTCATTTTACACCAAAAACGAGCGAAAACGGTTGAAAACTAGCCGAGATACAGCGTTTTGAAGTTTTACTGAGGCTTAGAAGAAATTGTAGTTTGTAGTGTCTAAGCCTCAGTAAAGCCAATGGAAGCATGCGCTTCACACAGATTCTCTGAGGCCTGAGGCGCTTTTGTAGTTTGTAGTGTGTTAGCCTCACCTTTATCCTTTTTACTGAGGCTAAGCGACTACAAACTACATTTTCTTCTAAGCCTCAGTAAAACCTCACAGCGCGCTATCTCAGCTCATTTTCAACCGTTTTCGCCCGTTTTTCGTTAAAAATATATGATAAATTTCGTTTTTTTTGTAGGTTGTAGTTAAAAGTTCTATAAAATTATATTTTGAATAGAAAAAAAACGAAACAACTACATCACAGTAAAAACGAGTTAACACAAAATTAACAAAAAATGTTGGCAAAGATGAGAAAAATGGCAAAATTGAGGAAAATTCAAATATCCAGTTCCCAGAGACGAATCGTTCCATCATCCGAGGCCGACGAGAGAATATTCGAGAATTTCGGATTCCATGCCACGTGGTTTACATCGTATTCGTGGCTTCCGACGACGCCAAGATGCTCAATAATTGGAGAATCTGAGGATTTCGAAGAGATTTTGAATAGTCTGGAAATTTCAAAAAAATTGAATGTTTTTTTTTTCAAAAAATTGTTTACCGAATTTTCGAATCACCGCCTCCTGTCGCGATGGCGTCATTTTCAGAATTCCACGTCACCGAATACAACGGCCATCGGGTATTCTCCACTTCTAGACGAGCCACTGATTTCCACGTGTCTTGATCCGCCGACTTTGAATCGATATTCTCACGAACGAAGAGCTGAAAAATGTTGTAGTTTGTAGTCATCCTATCTAGTTGTAATTTTTACAGTAGTTTCGATAGTTCTTGAGTTCAAATGAATTTATTGAAAATCTGTAGTTTGTAGTCTTTGTAGTGCTCACCTGAATAACATGATCCTCTCCTACAGTAACCAGCCGATGTCCTTCCGAGTCAAAAGCCGCGCTCCAGACGGTTCCCACGTGGCAATTATCGATTTTCTGTTGTGTCACCCAATCCTCACCGTCGTATCGATAAAATCGAATCGACGAGTCGTAGCTACACGAGACGAGAAGCTGGAAATTTTGAATTTTACTGAGGCTTAGGGTGGTTTTGTAGTTTGTAGTTAGCAATTTTTGTTGAAACCCGAGCAAAAATGGTTGAAAACTAGACGAGTTACAGCGTTTTCAACTTTTACTGAGGCTTAGTTTGTAGTCACTTAGACTCAGTAAAACGTTGAAAATTTTTACTGAGGCTAAGACACTACAAACTACGAAAAATCCTAAGCCTCAGTAAAATTTCGAATAGCCGGAATTCGGCTAGTTTTCAGCCGATTTTGCTCGTTTTTTGAGACTACAAACTACAAAAAAGGCGCTAAGCCTCAGTAAAACGTGCGTACGTCTTCTGTCGGATGCCAAACGACTTGTTTCACGTCCTGTGTGTGTGGCTGGAGAATCGATGAAACACTGAAGTCCTCATCTTCGTCTTCTGCAAAAAATTCATGTGGTTTGTAGTGTCTAAGCCTCAGTAAAATTCAAAATCATCGGGTTTTAGTCATTTTTGGGTCAAAAAAAACTAGATTTTTCTCATTTTTGGGTCGGAAACACGCATTTTCCAACGTTTTAGGTTAAAAAATACCGATTTTACTGACTTTCAGGTCGGAAAAATAGGATTTTCACCCATTTTCAGCCCACTTACGCTGCCAAAACCAGACACTCTTGTCTCGACTACACGTGGCAAGAAATTCGTCGCTTTTCGAGAAAACTGCACATTTCACTTCGCTTTCGTGTCCTTCCAGCTTGTTGACTTCTGTGAATTCGCCTCTGAAAATCAAAAAAAGACTACAAACTAGAAAATGTGGGGAATTTTAGTGAAAAATCGAGATTTCTAGCTCAAAAATTGCTGAAAATTCGTATTTTTTCGGTTAGAAATCGCGTTGTTAAACTACAAACTACAAAAACTTACTCTTCTTGCTGATAAATGACGACTGAAGCGTCGAAACTGGCGGAAACCAAGAATTTCCCGTCATTTGAAAACGCGACGGACCGTACCGCCCGTTATGACTGTCGTCTAGTGTTGTACGACATTCCAGACGGAGTTTTGAGTCTGAAAATTGATTTTTTTGAAAAACAAAATTTTTTTTTTGAAATTTTTTCCGATTTTTTCTTGAATAAATTTAGCAGTTTTAGACGTTTTCCGACATCCTAATTGCATTTTTCTGGCTGAAAATAAGCTTGAAATCTTTTTTACCGGAGTTTTTTGCTATTTTTTTCAGTTTCCAGCTAGAAAATCAATTTTCAGCCAATTTTCATGGAATATTAGGATTTTTTGAGTTTTCTAGGGTTTCCAACATTCCAAAATCCATTTTTCTTACCCAAAATCTACCCACCAGGTTCTCCAACAAGACTCCACACCCTAACAACCTTGTCATCCCCACAAGACGCCAGAATTCGACCTCCATAATGCCAGCACGTCATCCAAACTCGACTAGTGTCATCTTTTTCACCCTGATGATAAAATTCACCAATTTGACGCAGCATTTGTGCTGAAAATTGGGAGAAAATCGCTGAAAAATGCGAAAAAATTAACTAAAAAAAGGGAGAAACGCAAGCGCGCTCTGCGGCTATGTGCGAGGGAGAAGAGGCGCAGAGAAAGAAAAGCGAGGGTGTTTGAAAGGGAATTTATTGAAATTCGTTAAAAGATAGAAAAATTCAAATTGCCGTCTTGCCGCAAGCAACCATTTGTTCATTTTCACAATAAGTATCATCAAGGGATCCATGGGGACACAAAATCGGTCCACACCATCCTATGGCTAGTCTCTTTCGGTCCATAGCGATAAGCATATGGAGACATTTTTGTTTTCTGGAAAAAAAATCGATTTTTTTCTTGAAAAAAATTATAATTTAGATGATTTTTTGTAGTTTGTAGCCTTATTCACATCGGTCCCGATGGATTCGTCTCACTCCACACAAAACCATCCGTCCCATTGGTATGCTCATCGGTCCACAGAAATTGATTTAAAGCTGAGCAATCGCCTTTATTCGGGCATTCAGTTCTCCTTCTGGCTCCCAACCAGACGCTCAACCTCGAACCTTCTAGAGTCACATTCCCTGTTTCCAAATTTAGCTCTCTACCGGCACTGGAATCCTTCGGGACATCTTCTAGGTGCCGATGGGCGTGGCCTATTTGGAAATGGGCGGGGCCTATGGGGGCGTAACTTATGATGATGGTGATGTTCTTCAGAAGACCAAGAAGACGAGAAAGAAGAGGAAGAAGAGAAAAATTCCTTTTTGATAATAATTTTCTTTTTTGGTTCGAAAGATCCAAAGAATACAGTATTTTTTATAGTTTCCCATTTTTATAGTTTCGGGGGGTTGCAAAAACCCCTATAAAACCCATACTCACACACCTGTAGCTCTATCATTTTTGCCCCAAAAATGAGATTTTTCCCATTTTTTCTACTTTTTTGGATTACTGTAGTTTCGGGAATTCTGATGCCAGGTGGTGGCAGTGGCGGAGGACGTTTATCATGGAGCTCTTCGTCTTCTTCTGAGGAACATCATCATCATCATCATAGACCGCGCCCACACAGACCCCGCCCACAAAGTCGGAGGAGCCACCAGAGCCAGAGGGATGTCCCGATGGATGGCAGACGTTTAACAGAGAGCAGGGACCTTGGTGTATGAAGGTGAGTAATAGACTACAAACTACAAAGGTAGACTGCAAACTGCAAACTACAAACTACAAAGTTAAACCGGTTGGTGGGTGTATGGCGGGTGAATGACGGACGAATGACGCTTTTTCGCGATTTCCGAATATAAAAGACTAAAAACTACAAAGACTACAGACTACAAAGAGCACAAACTACAAACCGCAAAGACTAAAAACTACAAACCATAACGTTTACGTAGCTAGCGGATGTATGACGGACATATGACGGACGAATTGTGCTTTTTCACTATTTTCGCATAAAAAAGACTACAAACTACCAAGACCACAAACTGCAAAAACTGCAAACTACAAAAACTACAAAGACTACAAAGACTACAAACTACAACTGTATGCTAAAAACCACAAAATTGAACTGGTTGGGCGGATGAATGGCGGCTCTTGAGTTTGTTTTCACGATTTTTGACCTGTACATAAAATCTGGGATCCCCATAAAATATAAAAATTCTGAATTTTTTTCTCTGTAAAAATGCGTTCAAAACTTCCTGGTTACCCCCAAAAAACCATGAATCTCCTCTCCCATTTTCTCCTATCTCTCATTTTTTGGATTACTGTAGTTTTTGGATCTTTCGAGCCAAAAAAGAAGATTATCATCAAAAAGGAATTTCTATCTTCCTACTCTTCCTCCTCCTCTTCTTCTTGGTCTTCTGAAGAACATCACCATCACCATAAGCGACGCCCCCATAGGCCCCGCCCATTTCCAAGTAGGCCACGCCCATCGGCTCCTAGAAGATGTCCAGATGGTTGGGAGATGTTTAATAGGGCACAGGGATCTTGGTGTGTAAAGGCGAGACTACAAAGACTACAAAAACTACAAACTACAAATTTTTAGGTATTCTATGGTCCTGGAACGCAAGCGGCTGCTCTACAAGGATGTCAAGCTCAACAGGCAACACTCACCGGAGTTCAGGATAATACGGAGAGATTAGCAATTGCAGGTAGAACAGACTACAAAATACACTTTCCTGGAAAATTTTAATCTTACTGTATTTATCACATTAAGACCTTCAAAATGAGCCTAAACACGACTAAGTTCCGCCCGCTTTGAAATCTTGCAATAGACATGCGACGCACGACCGCGACGCACCGAAAGAAGGCGGAACCTAGTCGTGTTTGGGCTCATTTTGAAGCTCAGGACGAGGCAAGCCCATTTTCATCAAAATCAATACATTTCCAGCTGCTGCTCGCCTGGTAATCAACCAAAATGGAGGTGGACAAGGAGATGTGTGGTTGGGAGCAACACGAAAACCTACTTGCCCGGTTGCATCATCCTGTAATGGACTATTGACATTCGATTGGACAGATGGAACGACAACTGGAATCGCTGGATTCAAATTTGCACCAACTGAGCCGAATGGGATTATTTATCCAAATTGGCACAACTCGAATCCATGGGGACAACAGAACTGTTTGGTGGAATTGATTAGTGGGAATTCGGAAGTAGCAAAGTTTGGATATGCACATGGTGATATGGATGATCAGCATTGTCAGAATACATTTAGAATGTATGCATGTGGAAAGAAGCCGTAATTGATTTTGTTTTGTGTTGAATGAATATGTTAATTCGGATCACAAGTTTTCGAACTTAATTAGCTCAATTAGCAATAAAGATACAGAAAAGTTGTCAATTAGAAAAATGTAGAAAATTTAATTTTATACATTTTTGTAGTTGAACCCTTTTTTGTTACTTTTTCAGGAAACGAGATATAAAAAGTTGGAGATGACTACCCCCCCCCCCCCCCCAAAGGGAGGGGGGGGGGCGCATCATCAGGGCGCGGGCAGAAGGTTTTTTTTAATTCTACTTATCTCTGTTCCTATTGAAGCTAGACAAAAGTAGTTAACTATAAAAATGTGTAAAATTAAATTTTACACGTTTTTGTAATCAACCACTTTTTTGTAACTTTTTCAGGAAATGAGATAGGAGACGTTAAAGATAGCATACAACCACACTCCACTACCCCCTAGGCGTGACGCAGAGAGGGGGGGGGGGCGGCAGCGGGCGGCCAAAGGGGCTCTCTTTAACTCTACTTATCTCTGTTCATATTGAAGCTAGACAAAAGTGCTCAAGAGATAAAATGTGTAAAATTCAATTTCACCCATTTTTGAAGTTGACCACTTTTTTGTAGCTTTTTTAGGAATTGAGATAATTGCGCTTCTTCAAAACCCTCAAAATTTCTGTGCAAATGCTCCGTTTTGATTCAAATTTCAGTTAAAGCTTAAAGACAACAAAATTTATTTTAAAAGTGAATAATCAAATAATCATCTTGGCTCTGGTCTCTTCCCACAAGCAATCAGTGTCCAACCGTACCAACAAAGCGAGTCGTCCATTTGCCCGTGCCCAAAATTCCATCTAGCGATCTGACCATCAGCAGCAGATGTGTGCATGACTAGACAATCTTGGGTTCTGGAAAAAATGAGCAATTGGAGGAAGAGTGAGAAATTTGGAGCATTGTTGATCTACTTTTAAGATCCTTAAACCTTGTTTAAGTCATAACTTGGTTCATTTTTGTTCAAAATTGATTCTAAAAACTGTTTTGGATTTATCTCTTTTAGCTCTTCAAAATTAGTAAACCCCTACACTTTATCATGCGGATGAATCACGTTCGGCTCGCCGGGACCCCATAAAATTCCATCACTTCCAGTTGTATGGCCATCAGTCCACTGGAACTGGTCATTTGGGGAACAATAGCCAGGAGCCGAGCACGCGGGGTTGCGAATGGCACCCACCCAAACTTCGCCAAGCAATTCGCCTCCCTGTTGGGCTTTTAGCGTACGACCGGTGTCTGTAATATGAATATTCTGAAAATTCAAATTTCCAGCTTCATTTATAGCCATAAATTGTTTATATAGCTCAAAAACTAACAAAGGTATGATGGCTTTTTTGAAAGTCGTCGAGTTTTTTTTTCAGATTTTTTTGGATTCCAATTTTTTAAACCACTATAACTTTGTTAGTTTTTAAGCTACACAAGACATTTTTGGCTCAAAATGAAGCTGAAAATCTGAATTTTCAGCAAAAACTTACTAGCCACAAACATTCTTTCCTCTGCGTTCTGATAGCCACTCACGTTTGCACCCATAGTTGCACAAAACGACACACCAGTTAGATAGTTCTGCCAAGCGTAGAATACCTGAAATTTGTAGTTTTCGTAGTCAATTTTTTTGCTCAACCTTAATACACCACGGTCCTTGTGGCCTGTCGAATCGCGTCCAACCATCTGGACATCTGGATGACACGACGGGCGGCCGGGGTGGTCGACCACCATGGCCGCCACCGTAACCGCCATGATGATCTTCTTCAGACGACGACGACTGGGAGCCAGAATAACTGCCCCCGTCTCCGATAATAATACCAGAAACTACAGTAATCCAAAAAAGAAATGGAATAGGATTCATGTGTGGAAGCAAAAAGAGGGGGTGAAAATCGGTGGGTTTTATAGAGCCCCCCATTTTTTTATGAGGGAGGGGGGTGTCGATTTTTGGTTGTGCCTCGTAAACCTTGAAGTTTTTGATGTTTCAGTGTTGCAAAAAGCAGAAATCTTCAGGCTTATCTGTGACCTCAAACTTTTTGAACATAGTTTTTTTGCCAAAAATCAAGTCCGGTTGATCCAGTCCGGTTAAAATGGCCATAACTCTGTCAGCTTTTGTCCTATCAGATTTCAAGTTATATTTTTGAATTTGGCGAAGTCTGAGCTTTGAAATGAATATAAACCAAAAATCAACTTTGTAGCTCCAAAACTAAAAAAGTTACGGTGGTTTGACACTTTGAGAGTCCGGATTTTTGACACTTTGAGAGTCCGGATCACTTGTAGTTTGTACTCGAAACAATGAAGCTATGTATTCCTCATTTTTATTGGGATTACTGTAGTTTGTAGTATCGTCACCAGATATAGCAATCGATTCGGATTCTCATCGTCCTCTGAAGAGAGCTACAGTGGTGGGAATGGTCATGGCGGCCGACCACCGCATGATGGCGGCCTGGGAGGCTACAAAAACTACAAAAACTACAAATTCCTAGAATCTTCCAGGTGCAAAAGTGTCAGGGCTCCAGGATTCGAATGAGGCAGTGGCCAGTAAGTGTAGAGACTACAAACTACAAAAAATTCAAATTTTCCACTTCATTTTGAGCCAAAAGTTGTTTATGTGGCTCCAAAACTAACAAAGTTAAGAGGGTTTGAAAATTTTAGAGTCCGAATTCAAAAATTTGAGTTTTCAGTGTGATTTTTCGAATTTTCTCATTTTAAGCCAAAAATTTTTCGAATAGCTTCAAAACTAATGAAGTTATAGGGGTTTAAACATTGGAAATCAAAATCCGGACTCTCAAAGTTTCAAACCACCGTAATTTTTTTAGTTTTGGAGCTACAAAGTTGATTTTTGGCTAGAAATGAAGCTGAAAAATCGAATTTTTAGATTATCTATTAGGCAGATGGACATACAACTGGGAAAGCTGAATTTGTGTGGGCTCCAGGAGAGCCAAGCACGTGGCTTAAGAACGGAGGGTTAGTTGAGATTCAAGGTGGATTCTAAAAATTTCGAGAACAATTTTTTTTGAAAGTATGCCTTGTTTATACTCATTTTAAAGAGCTAAACAAGACAAACTTGAGACAGTAATTGAAATTGAATTTGGACCAAAATGAACCAAGTTATGACCCAAACAAGGTAGTGGCTTCAAAAATGGTTAGAGCTCTCAAGAAATCCTTAATAATTATACCTCAAATTCTTGCAAATTGCTCATGTTTGGTATCAAAATGTTTCAAATTCAGTTTTCTATTGTAATTTCTAATTTTTTTCCAGAACCCAAGACTGTGCAATCATGCACACAACCGCATTTGATGGTCAGATAATAAATTTGGTTCACAGAGCATTGGACGACTCGATGTGCGCCTTTTTATGGCAAATGGTCGCGTGTGGAAAGAGACCGGACTCCAGATAATTTTTTGGTTCTTGGCAGAATTTTGAATAAAAAATTTTATTTTATTTTGGGTAATTCGGACCGAAATAGGCCAAGTTATGGTCTAAAAAAGGATTAGGCTCTTTTAAGGCCATTTTAGCCGGTAACATGAATTTTTGGAAACCCACCCTTGTTTATACTCATTCAAAAGCTTTTAACAAGCTTAATTCAATAATGGCATTAAAATTCAATTTGGACAAAAATGGACCAAGTTATGGCCTGAACAAGGCTTAAGCCGCTTTAATCTGAAAAAAAAGAAAAATTTCAAGCCTAGCCTTGTTTATAGTCATCTTGAATCTTGTCCCACACCAAATTCAAAAATTTTTTCGAACTTCAAATTGGCCTAGAATAGGCCAAGTTAGGGCCCAAATGGTATTTAGGCCGAAATTCCGAAAATTCAAACCTAGCCTTGTTTATACTCATTTCAAAGCGCGTCACAAGCCAAATTCTAAAATTTGGGCTCAAAAAAAATTAGAGACAACCCTCTCAAACTTACTCGGATCCAAAAAAAAAAAAGAAACTAATCCCATTGAATTTGTCTCATCGAGAGCTTCAAAATGAGTATACTCAAGCCATATCTCCTTCAAATTCTAATTTCAACTACAGTATCCCTCTATGCGCCTTTAAGAATTATTTTCTGAAAATCATCATGTCCCTTTAATTCACTAATTGTCATTCAAAAGTAATAAGACCATAATATCATCAAATTTAGTAGTTAGGATGATGAGAATCAGATGATTCACCTAATTCTCTCTTTTCCGAAAATTTTCCTCTAGAAAAAACACGAGGGGGTCTCTGGAGATAAGATTTGGCTCTTCTAGAATTTTCTCGGAGCTTTCATTCTCCTAAAAATCAAAAAATCGAAACTTTATACTTCTTTTTCCCTTCATTTCCTTCTTTTTTAGGCCTATTTTTAGTCAAAGATTCCCAAAATTTTCGATTTTTTCTGAAATTCCAGATGAAGGACGAACCTGTATTCTACACCATCCCATTGGATTCACCACCATCTAGCCGACGCTCGGGACCATCGTCGCCGGCTCAGAAGGCTCCGACTTCTGATGACGTGAGCACGAATTTCGAAATTTTGCGAAAAAATTTTTTTCGAATTTTTTTTTCAGCATGTTCTGATCTTCCCGAATCGCAGTGGATCCAAAAAGCGCAGGGCTCGTGTAAGTTTTCAAAAAAAAATTAATTAATTTTTTCGATAATTACAGGTTCAGATACATCCTGATGGTGTTGCCTTCTATCAGATGGACAATGGAAATGTTGGATCGGTAATTTTGAATTTTTCACTTCTTTTTGAGAATTTTGGGAATTTCCGGGTTTAAATCGGGGGGGGGGGGGGTTTGGATTTTTGTATTTTCAGGTGTTAAGGATGTTCAAAATTTTAGGATTCTGAAACTATTCTATTACAGTGATAGCATTCCAAGAACTTTGGATTTTAAACGAGGTTTCGGGGGTTTTAGGATTTTCGTATTTTTCAAGATTCCAAGTTTTTTTTTCTGAGTTTTCAGGAAAAGGATATCAGATTTCGAAGAGTTTTTGGCTCTTTTCTAGTTTAGAGGTCCCAAAAAAATTTAGAGGTCCAAAATACGAAAAACGGGCAGATGTTGGAATAATGTACTAGTATTTGAACTGTGTGGGTAGTTTGAGTTTTGGGGTCTTATAGGATGACATGACTACTCCTAACAATTTTAGCTTCAATTCTCTCGCATCTTGCTGATGAACCCCAATTTACATATGAGGAAAATTTGGGCAATACAGTAATCACTCCGTGATTATGCTGTCTCTCAGGCTTAGATAATTGTCAGAAAAAATTCATTCCTAAGCCTATTAGAAGTATAAAATATATCATCAACAATTATTTTGCTATAAGACCTCAAAACTTTAAATTCTTCCACAATTCAAATTTTAGTACATTATTCCGGTATCTGTGCATTTTTAAGTTTTGGACCACTATTTTTTCTTGGGACCACTAAACTTTTTTGGGACCTCTAATTTTTTAGGGACCTCTATTTTATTTTGGGACCTCTAATTTTTTTTCGGACCTCTATTCTTTTTTGGGACCTCTGATCTTTTTTGGGACCTCTAAACTAGAATAGAGCCGAGTTTTTTTTATTCTGAGGTTTCTAGAATTTTTGGAAATTTCAGATTTTAAAGATTCTTGGAATCCTTTGGATTTTTGAGTTTTGGGACGTTTCAATCATTTTTATTTTGTTTAAAAATGTTTAGGATTTCTACAAATTTCACAATTATTAGGAATTCTAGAACTAATGGATTTCTGAAATACCAAAATTTTGAGGGGTTTATGCATTTTTTCATAGATTTTTAGATTCCCCCTTTTTTTCATGAATTTAAAATCTCCAATTTCCCATTTTTCAGACCTCGGACGGATCTTCCCACGAAGCCAAACAGGTAATTACTAATAAGATAATTGTAAATTTCAATTTTTTTCAATTTTCAGGTGGACGCCCAAATTCCGGCTCAACGTTCCGATGTATACATTGTTCGCAGTCAGCCGTCTCAGGAGCTTCTTGTGATAAAAACTTTTGTAGTTTGTAGTCTGAATTAAATTACTTTGAGTTTCTCTCTTCATGAGCTTCAAAATGAGTATAAATAAGGCTGGGTTTGTGAAATTCACTTTTTCGGCAAAAAGGCCTAAAACATCATAAATCTTGTTTGAGCCATAGCTTGGCCCATTTTGGTCCAAATTCAGTTTTGTGGAAAACTTTGATTTTGACTCGTCTAAAACTTCAAAATGAGTATAAACAATACCAGGTTCCCAGAACTTCATGTATTCGACCAAAAATGAGCCTAAAACGGGGGGAGTTGTTTAGACCATTACTTGGTCTATTTCAGTCCGATTCCGAATTTTTAAAAAGATTCGAATTTCTTGTTTTTAGAGCTTCAAAATAAGTACAAACATGACTTACTTTCTAAAAATCTAAAAATTCCAATAATTTTCAGATTCCGTTAAGCCCATTCCAGTCCAGAGCGGCTCCGCTCCTCACTCCGGGAAAGATGTATCCCAGATATGTACGTTTAACTTATTTTTCGAACATAAAAGAGTTATTTTCTTTTTCAGGAGTCGTCAAGATGGACCGCAGCCTCAGCAGCTCGCAAGACTGAGGTAATTATTTTTTCCAAAATTTTTTTTCTGAAAATCTGGAATTTTCAGCCAAAATTTTGATGAAAGTAAGATAACTGACCTCAGCTCTCTAAGAGCTTTGAAATGAGTATAAACAAGGCGGGGTTTTAAAAACTTTGATTTTTTGAAATGTTTTGGGTCATGCGCCTTTAAAGTCGAAATTTCTTATTTTCCAATATAAAATGGATTTTTTCAGATGCCACCGTCATCTGGAGCCGCTCTCGTCAACAATGGATCCGTCGGAGAGATTAGAATTTTTTGGATCTTGAAATTTTCAGATTTTCAGTCAAATTAACCAGTTTTTAGCCAAATTTCGTAATTCCTTCAGAAATCCCTTCATTTTTAAGCTAGAGCTTCGGTGTTAGTACCATTTGAAAGCCCGGAAAATTTTAAATTTAAAAACAATTTTTATGTTTGAAATGTCTCGAAATTCAGATTTTCAGCACCTCAAAAATGGCTATTCCAAAAAATATGACTGATTTTTGGCTAGTGGCAAAAAATTGATCATAACTTGCTTTATTTTTGCGCTAGAGTTTTGGTGTTAGTACCATTCAAAAGCCCTTAAAATTTTTAACTTAACACATATTTGAACATTTAAATTTGATTGTAAATTCCAAATTTTTCAGTGCCTTTAAAATGACTAACCCTTAGAAAATGGCCGGTTTTTGGTTACTGGTAAACAATTAATCATAACTTGCTTCATTTTTAAGCTAGCGCTATAGAATGTATATTTTTAGAATCAGCAAAAAATTTAAAATTTTATCATATATTATAACAATTTTTAGAAACCCCAAACACCACCAAAATCACCGGTTATCGATGCTCCAGAGGCTGCTGCCGACCCACCGAAAATGATCGTGAGAGCCCCGATGGCTCCGTTGGTTCGCGCACCACCACCTGAACCGGTATGCGTTTTTTGAATTTTCTGTCTGCATTTTAACGTGATGGTGTTTGCAGACAACAAAAATTTTTAACTACAAAAAAGGATTTTCAGGTTGTCCCAGCCATTGAGCTCGTCGCACCATTCGCCGTGGAAGCGCCACAGGTTCCGGCAGTTGCAGCAGCCGAGGAAGTGGTGGCAGCCGAGGAGGTTTAAGATTTTCCTAAGTTTTAAATATTGCAAAATTTTAATTTGAAAAAAAAGCTCTTTAAAATTGGGAATTTTTTGGTGGAAGGGGTCGTTTAACAAGCTAGGAACTATCTGTACATTGAAGCTTAATTATCTCGGCTCTTAGTAAAGTTATATAAAAATGGTCAACTAGGAAATTGTAGGAAATTTGATTTTACACATTTGAGTAGTTAAGTATTTTTATCTTGCAACAATAGTTACAGAGATAATCAGACTTCAAAAAGTCATATCCACATGCGCGCTGCAAGGGAGGGCGCTCCCCCCCCCCCCCTTTCGTGAAGGGAGCCTGCGGTGTCGGGGTGGGGTATGCTTACTTAAACTTATTATAACTCGGTTCCTAGCAGAGATACAAAAAAGTGGTCAACTGAAAAATTGTAGAAAATTTAATTTTACATATTTTTTTTGTTGATCGTTTTTAAATAGCATTACTGTGAAATGAGTTATATGTGATTAAAGAGAGCTACCCACTCTTCAGCGACCCACAGTAGTCTTCACGTCAGCGTTAATTGTCTTAGCTCCTAGTAAAGATACAAAAAAGCTGTGAACTATTAAAACATAGAACATTTAATTTTTCACATTTCACTAGTTGACAACTTTTTTGTATCTTTCTCCAGAACATCACTACTTTCAGAATCCTCCTGCCCCAGCTCCAGCAGTTCAAGAACATGCACACGAGCCACCGGCGTCGTGCTGGCAGTGGTTTGTCTATTGTTGCTGCTGCAAATGCTGCTACAAAACATAATTTATCCCCAACTTTTTTTTTTCTCAAGAAATTCTAATTGAAGAAATCTACACATTCTGCTGACAATTTTTTGTACTAACCCTACCCCCCACCCCATCCTCTTCTCTCCAATTATATATCCCTCCAAAATCACCATGTCTCTGAAATGTCGAAGCAATAATTAATAAAAATGTGTGTTTTAATACTTTCAAATGTCGAAAACTAGGTTCTTCTGCTTTTTTGGGCTTGAAAGATAGCTAAAAATGGGGGAAATCAGCATATACCAAAATTTATGGTAAGCATTCTTTAGGTCTCTCTATCTCGGTTCCTAAAAAAGTTACAAAAAAGTGGTCAACTAGTAAAATGTGTAAAATTAAATTTTCTATATTTTACTAATTGATATTTTACCTTTTTCGGCGAGGGTGGAGATCTATATTTTACCTTTTTCGGCGAGGGTGGAGACGCAGGTAGGGAAGCGCGCATCTTTAAGCTCATTTATCTTGGTTTTTGTAAAAGATAGGAAAAAGTTATCAACTAGCAAAATGTGTAAAATTCAAATTCACACATTTTTCTAGTCGACTACTTTTTTGTATCTTTTTTAGTAACCAAGATAATTAGGTTTAAAGTTAGGATAGTCGATTTTCCCGCCTTATCATCTAAACTCTTGCGAAAATTGAAATTTCATTAGCCTATTTGGTACCAAAATGTTTCAAATTTTCCCTAGATTCCAAAAATAGTAATTTCACAGTTTTCAGTACACAAACTTCAAAAATTCCCTCTAAACTGTTCAATGATCTTATATCCTAATTGTTTTGATGATTTCCCTCCTAGAAGTGTGAAAACAAAAAGTGGGCGGAGCCCAATTAGTAGAGTACTACTCATTTCTAAAAGAGAAAATTTTGCATATATTTGTCACCTTTTGATGTTTTCTTTTAAGTTTTATTCCAAGATGAGGGTCTAGGAATTTCGGCTCAATCTGTGTATTTGTTTGTCCAGATGTCTTTAAATTTCAGATGCCCAAAAACCGGGTTCATCCATCTTATGGGGTCCAGAAAACAGCTGAAAATGGGGGAAATCACCAAAAACGAATGTTTCTGGTAAGTTACTTTGGACCATTTTATCTTGGTTCCTAGAAAAGACTTTACAACTGTGGAAAATCACCAGCGACTAAAGATTCTGGATAGACTACTTTAAGCCACTTTATCTTGGTTTTTAGAAAATATAAAAAAAAAGTTGTCAACTAGTAAAATGTTTAAAATTACATTTCCTATATTTCAATAGTTTAATACTTTACTGTATCTGTACTAGAAAGCGAGATAATTGAGGTCAAAGTTAGCGGTCGGCGGGCCTTGGCCTACTGGTCGCCGACAAGGGGCGCTAAAGTCACGCCCTTTTCAATCGCTTATAGCTTGTTTTTAAGTGAAGCTATCAAAACATGGACAACTAATAAAATGTAAAAAATCAAAACTTAAACGATTTACTAGTTGATCATTTCATTGTAACTTCCCTACGAACCGAGATAATTGAGCTCAAATAAACGTAATTAGATTTTTCATAAGTTTAGAAGTTGAACCTTCTGAATCTGTGTAAAAAAGGATTTCATTGCTGTATTTGGTATCGAAATGTTTCAAATTTTATGGAAAACTTGAATTTTTGAATTTCAATTAGTTTTTGTAATAGGTAAGATACAAGTGAGCGGAAAAGACGCAACATTTATTCGATATAAAAACGATAAGGAAGATGTACAGTTCAAAATTAGCTCCTGAAAATGGTCAAAATCCATAGAAAAACAACACTTTTATAAAATGAAAATTAAGCATTTATTTCAAAACAGAGTTCGAATAGTGTACTGATTAGCCAGACTAGAAACTAGTCTGTTGATCCCTTTCGCCACGTAGAGGCTCAGTACATGAAAGGGAAACAAGGTTTATTTGACCAATGGGATCACCTTCTAAAACCCATAGGGCGTGGAGGGAGGGGTCCCCCACCCCCTAACAAAAAAAAACAAGAAGTCAGCCAAAAAACCCCTCTTTTCGGAGACCATTGTCGGTTAATTTTCAGAAGCTCCTTCTCATCCCGATAAGAAGCCACATTGCATAATCACTTTTCATTGTTGTCTCCATTTTTTTAATCATTGATAAAATCTTCTGCTACTCGGGGACGTTCAGTGATAAAACACCTAGCCATGAACCCGGAAACATGGCGACCCTTCGGGCCTTTTAGTACTTTTTTCGCATCGGATCAATCGACAGAAAAAAGCAAAAGAGACAAGAATTGAGCAGCGGAATGCAAAGGGCTTCTTACCAGAGAGAAGGTGCCACTGAAAATTATCCAACAATAAAGATTCAAAGGGATTTCACAGAGACACTGATTTCTTATCCAATACGTGGCATTTTTTAAACGGGGACATTTTATTATAGTGAATATAAAGCTTAAAAATCAAATACAATTTGAGGTCACCTTTTGAAAAGCGTCAAATTGCGTCGAAATACTTCAATCGCTTATAGCTCGTTTTCCAGTGAAGCTATCGAAGAATAGACAGTTACAAAATTGTGTAAAATTAAATTCTGCACAATTTGCTACTTAGTCAATTTTTTGTATATTTGCTAGGAACCGAGATAATCAACCTTAAAGGGAGCGGTCGGCGGGCTGACAACTGTAGGTCGCCAGAAAAGGGCGCTGGACCTATTTATCGCATTTCTCAAGAATTCTATCCAAAAGTTACCAACTACAAAAGTGTGTAAAATCAAATTCTACACAATTTACTGATTGATCAGTTTTGGGTATCTTAACAAAGAACCGAGATAATTAAGGTAGAAGTGAGCAGTCGCCGGGCCCACAACTGTGGGTTGCTAGAAGGGGGCGCAGCAGCCATGTCTTCTTTAATCGCTCATATCTCACTTTTCAGTAGTGCTATCTAAAAATAAATAACTACAAAAATGCTTAAAATTGAATTCTGCACATTTTCCTAGTTGACTATTTTTATGCATCTTCCCTAGGAACCGAGATAGTCAAGGTCAAACTTTCAGATGGTTCTCAATACTTCAAGACACAACTATCGATCGTTTTCCGCGCCTTCTCCAAAACAACGTTTGGTATTTTTTAGCACTTCAAGTCTCAAAACTTGAAAAATCTTCCAGAAACTTCTCAAACATCCCTGGAAACCAGCCCCGTCGAATGCCCAAAAGTGGATGGCTTCTGAAAAGCCATTTGTAAGATTTTCAAGGAGAACTTTAAATTTTTCTTGGAGTTTTTCAGGAGCTAGGCTATCAAGGAATTCCAGAATCCGGCAGACTGTACCGCCCGGCAACTCATCCAGATTTGAATTTCAAAAATTCGTCGCTTTTAGTGAGAAATGCCAAATTTTAAAGGTTATAATTGAAAATTCGAAATTTCAGGAAAAATTGGGATATGAAGGAATTCCAGAGTCCGGGCAAACGTATCATCCGGCAGTGCACTCTAATTTAAATGTAAGATTTTTTAAGATTTGGAACATAAAAATTGAAAATACCCATTTTATGGAGTTTAAAACCATATTAAAGGTGGGGGGACAGGAGATTTTACGGGGGATTTTTGGGGCCAGAGTATGCATTCTACCGTAACGGTGTACAACGCTTAATGTCACTCTGCGTACAGCTGTCGTTCTCGCCTTTATGTATGCAATCAGGCGCCCGCTCCAGTTCCGCCCACATGGCTCAGTCGGTAGCGGCGCCGCACCTTCAATACTCGCCTCGACAAGTTCAACTCCTCGAGGGGCATATTTAAACAGAATTTCGAGAACATTATTTTTTCATGACCCCCCACCTTTAAATTGAATGAAGCCAAAAGACGCAAAAAAAATCTAGCATGTTTTCTTTAAGCCTTTTTATTTAGGTTCTTCCAAAAGATACAAGAAAGAGACAAACTAGTAAAATGTGTAAAATTAACTTTCCTATATTTTATTAGTTTATAATGTTTTTGTATCTTTACTAGTAACCAAGATATTCAAATTTAAAAAGAGCGATCGGCTGGCGCATGACTATAGGGTCCTCGGCAAGGGTGCTATGTCTCGCTTTCTTTGTTTGAATTTATATCGTTTATCAGTAACGATAGCAAAAATGACAAACTGCAAAAATGTGTGAAATCAAATTTCCTACAATTTTCTAATTGACCACTTTTTTGCATCTTTACTAGCAAGCGAGATAATTGAGCTCAAAGATAGGAGATAGTGCATTAGAGCGCAATTTCGGATTTACAAATTTTTCTCAACTTTTCAGAGCATTCAAGTGGTTTCGGACTTCAAAAATGCTGGAAACCAAAAAATGGACCTAAATTTGCTAAACCCAAACGAGCCACCAACTTGGAGAACATTCCCAACACCACCGGTGAGTTATCAAGATAATGCTCACTTTTAACTCTTTATCTCGGTTTCTGTGAAAGATACGAAAAAGTGGTTAACTGATAAAATGTGTAAAATTGAATTTCCTATGATTTCGTAGTTTACAATTTTTTGTATCTTCACTAGGAACCAAGATAATTGCGGTAGAAGTAAGCGTAAGGCGGGCACACGCCTACTGGTCGCCGGCAAGGGCCGCAGAGGCCCCGCCCCCTTTAACCTTGATTATCACATTTTCTAGTAAGATATAAAATAGTGATTAACTATGAAAATTTGTAAAATTAAATTTTCTACAATTTCCTAATTGACCACTTTTTTCAATCTTCACTAAGAAGGGAGATAATTTACCTCAAAGTTGAGTGTCCAATTTCCAGATCGAATACATCCCTCGCCCAATTGAACCTCGACATCTTCGGCAATACCAAAGAGATGCCAAAAAACTAGATGAAAAAGTAATCTTGTCCATCTGTAAATCTGTTTATCCCGATTTTTATAGAAAAATGCCAACGGAAGACTTCAGAAGTCGTCGATTTTAAGAAGGCCAGAACCAACTTCCACAGAAATCATTCCAGAAAAGCCACCAGCTCCTTCCCGGATATCAATTATCTGCGAGAAAGCTTCAAATTTTTTGTTATCCAAAAATTTCCTAATCATCTTTGGACTTTTAGTGATCTTCCTGACTATCTATGCTTTAATTGCTATATGGCGTATTAGAAAACACTAGAAAAATTAACATGTTTATTATAAAGATGTATAGATCACCAAACAATCATCATTAAACCGTATCGTCCATTTTTTCTTTGTCTTTTTTCACTATGTAATATTGCTCCGTTGTATGCTCATCCACTACTCCCTCAGGAACCACGATGACGTCTTCAATCTCCTCCTCCTCGTCGTTGTCTTCTGAATTCCAATGTGATACCAGAAGGCAATTTCTTAAATAGATGACATAGAAAAAAATCAACGAATTTCCTTCAATTCGGTGAAAAATAACCAAAAAAACGGCGACATTAAAATACCGTCGAAAAACTGCGTGGCGCCTTTGCGAAAAGGGGCGGATCGCTCCGCCCCCTTGTTTGTTTGTGTGTTCACCGGTGCGATCTTTTTGAATTGACAATAGTGACATGATTCCGAAAATAGCCAGTCAATGCAATTTTTATTAGAATGACAAACTCAGGACAACAGAACGACATGCTTTAAAATTCACAAGCTAGAATTTAGAAAAGGGGCGAGGGATGGAACGGGAAAAAAAGGACAAATCACTGTTTATAGTGGGGGCTGGAGAACTTCATAAGGGCGAAAAAACAAGATGGGGGAATTTTGGGCGGGGAGAGATGTGTTTGTGTGGGTGCGCAATAATTATTACAAAATAACAGAAGGCCCGCATTGAATTGTACGAGATTTCCAAATAATTAACGGGTTGAGTTAACACGCTAATGGGTTGTTGAGGACAGGGACGATAATTGAAAAGGGGTCAGCTGGAATTACACTTACATAATAAATTAACAAACTACTACGAGGGAGTGCGTCTGTATGGGGGAGAGAGAACAATGTTATTGTGACGATGGGGACTACTGCTCAGTAGCGGCGGCGCTGCTGTGTTGGTTGTCCCGAGGAACGTAGCCGCCACGACGGTATCCTCCGTTGTTCGGGCGATATCCTCCATTGTTGTATCCTCCGCGGCTCTGGTAACCATTGTTGTATCCTGAAATTAAATAAAAAATTAGTTGAATTAGGAAATTCAGATTATTACCTCCATATCCACGGTTTCCTCCACGTCCCCGACCACCAAATCCACGGCGGTAGTTCAACGAACGAACGGCGTTGTGGCCGAACGTCTCCTGGTTGGTCTCCCGCTCCTTCTTCCAATCTGGGCGCCCGGTCTTTCCTTCGGCCTTCTCCAGGGATTCGCAACTGATGTTGTCGAAGAACGACGTCTTCTTGTCATAGAAGGCAGAGTCCTTCTTCTCCTCAACCTCCTTCGGCTCCTTCTCATCGATGTTCAGCTTCTCGAGGTTGTCAGTAAGAGTCTCCTGGAACTTCTCGTTGGCCTTCTCAAAGTCAAAGTCGGACTCGAACTTCAGCTTCTCGCGATGGTTGACTCGTGGAACTCCGTAGTTGTTGTGCCCGCGTTGGTTGTTGTAACCACCGAATCCTCCACGGTAGTTGTTGAAGCCTCGGTTGGATTGGAAGTCTGAAAATTGTTAGTTAAATCAATAATTCAAAGTCGCGAAACTCACTTTGCTGATATCCTCCACGTCCAGGGCGTTGTTGGTTGACGATGTGGGCCAGAGGGCTGTTCCGGGATGGGGTTCCGGCTCTCGATGAACCGGCTGACGCGTTGGGAGCTCCATCGCTGGCTGGGGCCGATCGGGAAGACACAGAGATGATGGCGGGATCATATGGAAGTCCCGACCCGATATTTGCCATCTTCGGCGTATCGCACACGATCAAGTCCTTGATGTCGCTGGCTTTGAAGATGATGTACTCGTAGACATCGTCACGGGCAGCGACCGGGTTGGCGGTGGGGCGCTTCTCGGTTCCGAATGAGCGAACCTTGGCCAAAGCGATAGTCGAGTCGTTTGTGTCGACGGTGTACAAGATTCCCTCGTAGCGGATGTCTAGCTTGGAGATGAGACTAATTTTGCTTCCGATGTACGGTGTTTGATTCGACATGATTACCTGGAAAAGAATCGTTGATACAAAGGAGGAGATGATAATACGATTAAAAATGTAAATCAGCGGTAAAAAGTGGAGAAATATCTTACAGAAGAGAAAATTATGATGCAAAAAAAAAAACGCTTCTAGACGACAAATCCGACTGACATCCTACTAATGACCTAAATCTTAGAAATTCGAGGAGAAAAGTGCAGGAAAATGGGCGAATCAACAAAAATTTCAAGCGCATAATGCTTAAAAATGGTTTCCGAACCTTAAAAGCTATCGAAAATCAAGGAAAAGCTCGAATTTCGGCGCCCAATGTCTTCGAAATGAGCCTGGCGTAACGACACCGTCATCATTATCGATTCCGGCGCAGCGGAGCGCGCTTGCACCCTAATGGGACGCTAGAGGCGGAAAAGTACTGAAGGGAGAAAAATTTCTTTCATACGCGCTACTTTTGAATTCGAAATTCATTTTAGGTGACTAATTTCACTGAGCGATGCTATTTCACGATCAACAAGACGAAGAAATTCGGCGCGGAAGGAAAAAAGTTACGAAAAATGCAGAAAATTCGCCTAGCGAGCCGTCGAGATAAATTTCAGCCAAATTTCGGGTGAATTCCAGCCAATTATAGCTTGAAAACGCAATTTATCACTCAAAATCATCGAATTCACCTAAAACATCACTAAAAAAGGTCAAAAATCAAGAAAAATCCCAAAAAAATCGAAAAAATCCGTCGAAAAACAACAAAATTTCAGAAAAAAACAACTGAAATCCCAAAACGGGCGCCTGAGATCCACCGTACTCTTTAAAGGCGCATGGCGGGTCTCGCCACGAACACAGACTCCTTGGCACGGCGCCAGCTCCGTAAATCGACACGAATTAATTTTCCGCTGGAAATTTTTTTTTCAAGCTACTTTTGGCTAAAAAACGCGATTTCGGTGCTTTTTTCGCGGGTTTTCGATGATTTTATGTGAAAAATGAGGTTCCGAAACGTTTAAAACCGCTAAAAGCGTTGAAAAACACGAGATTTTGCCTGAAAAATGAAGGTTTTTGTGAAAAATTGGAAATTTTCGATTTCTCATTATTTTTTTCAGAAATTTAGGGTTTTTATCTGTTTAACAGCTTTTTTTTCTCTTTTTTGCTGCCAATTTTTTAAGTTTCAGACCCGAAAGGACCTGCCATGGCTAGAAAACTGTCCGATGGATTTTTATATTTTTAGAAATCTTTTTTGCTCATTTTCCCCAAGATTTTCCCTAAAATTCTTCAATTTTTGTGCTTTTTCTCCTCGAAATTGGCTATATTTCTCTCGATGTTCCTAATTTTCAGCTCCAAAAAATGGCCGGAATCACCGCTCACTCCCAATCCCAACAATTCGAAGACGACGAATTCAATGAGCTGAAAAAGACGGGCGTCTCGTGTGATCGTCTCCGACAGGCGCTGAAAAAGTGCATCAAGAATTCACAATGCGTCCAAGTCCAGGTTTGGCGCTTTTTGCCGGATTTTGAGAGCTAAAAATGGGTTTTAAGAGGGTTTTGGATCCATAAACCCCCGGTTTTTACATATTTCCATTTGAAAATGGGTTTTGGAACGATTTCAGACCTGAAAAATCCATTTTTCTAGCTAAAAATGAGGTTTTCAAGCTGAAAAAAAGCTTTTTTCGACAACTTTTGACCCAAAAACCTCCCATTTTTTTACATATTTCAAGCTAAAAATGAGGTTTTCAACGATTTGAAATCCATAAAACCCCGATTTTCAAACTGAAAAAAAGCTGTTTCATGGATTTTAGACCCAGAAACCCCCGTTTTTCAGGCTAAGAATAACATTTTTGGCAATTTTAAAGTCTAAAATTTAGACCTTTAGAACCCCGAACTTTTCCATATTTTAAGCTGAAAATGGGGGTTTTCAACGATTTTCGACCAAAAAAAAAATCCATTTTTCAAGCTAAAAATGGGATTTTACAGTGATTTCAGACTCTTGCAAACTCATTTTTCACAAATTTCTAGCTGAACATTGACTTTTTCGCCCCAAGAAACCCATTTTTCCAGCTAAAAATGGGATTTTTCAACGAATTGAGACCCATAAAACCCATTTTCAATTTCAAAATTGAATTTTTTCAACGATTCAAGCCTAAATTCCCAATTTCCAGGCCCGATCCGCCAAGGAATGTATCGATGCGCACGACGGAAGTGTACCCGACAAGTGCTTCGCCGTTCTACAGAACTTTACCGAGTGCAAGCGATCGCTAGTCGACATGCGATCCCGGTTTCGTGGTCGCAAAGGGGACCTTTAATCGAATTTTTATTTAATTTTTAGCGATTTTTTGTGATTTTTCTCCCATTTTTGTAGTATTTAAAGTCATTTTTAGGTCTTTTCCTGTTCAAAAAACGTGTATAAACTATAGTTTTTTAGCTACTAATCAATTTCAGAATACTCGTGTGCTTTCATTCAAATCATACAAAAAAAGAAGGGAGGAGGAGGAGGAAAACACTCGGAAAGTTCAATTGCACCCAGCTAGTTGGAAAAATTCGGAAAAAACGGGGACCCAAAAAAGGAGAAATTAGCATTTTAAGGGGGTATTTATCACAGGCGGTGTGCAGAAAAGGGGGGAAATGTACACAGTTTTTAAAGCAATCAAATAGAAAACAAAATTAATGGATAATATTTTCAGAATTGCAGATGCTCCGAGAAATCCACGTAGAGAGCTGATTCCAGACGAGCCACTGCGTTTTTGTAGGTCAGACTTCCCGAGAGTGCGTGGGCGTCGCGGAGAGGAGTGTTCTGGAAGAATTGGGATTTTTTTTCGAAAATTCCCGCGGAATTTCGGAATTTCGAAGTAATCCAATTTTGAAAAATTCGGTAATTCAGAATTTTCTGAAATTTGAGAATTTCGGAATATTCCGATTTTGCAAGTTTCCGAGCTCCCGAAAATCCAAAATTTCCAAAAATTGAAATGTTCCGATTTTCAAAAATTCGGAACTTTTTAAAATTTGAAAATTTCTGATTTTCGGAGTCTTGGAATTTTCCGATTTTCAGAAATTCGGAATTCTACGATTTCAAAAATTTCGGATTTTCTGATCTTGAAAGCTTCGGATTTCTCAAAATCGGAATATTCCGAAATTCTCAAAAACGGAAAATTTCGAAAATCCGATAATTTCAAAAATCCGAAATGTTCAAAATCGGAATATTCCGAAATTTTTAAATTTTTAAAATCGGAAAATTCCGAAATTCCAAAAATCCGAAAGTTTCCGAAGTTTTCAAAATCGGAAAATTTCGAAAATCCGAATTTTCAAAAATTTGGAATTTTCTGAATTTTCAAAAAATTCAAATTCCCGCCATCCCCATTCCCAAAAAATGGCCTCAAAAACTCACATTACTCTCGGGCACCGACTTATTCAAATTGGCAAGTGTATAGAAGAACGGTCGGAGCTCCTCGAAAGACGTCAGAATCTTCACAGCAGCCAACGACGCCGTATGATTGCTCATCGCATCGAATTCCCCATATTTTTTAGCGAGTAAATCGTTGATTCGCTCAGCGAACGGCTTAAAAATCTCCGTTTTATCCGCGGAGACAGACGAGACGAATGCCCAGTGGAACATTTGGAAATGCGACAGATAGCCGGCTGGTAGGGTGCACAGGGTCTCCAGAAGTTTGCACGCAGCCACGTACAACTGCATCCACTGGTCTGACGTGGAGCTTCCTTCTTGCTCTCCGTTGTTTTGAAGCTGTTGTTCCAGTTGGGACAACGCGTGGACCAATTCTGTCACCATAATTGGCCAAACACCAATTAGAGAGTGTGGGCGGAGTCGGAGGAGAAGGACACGGACGCACAGGAAGAATGAGGAACGGATCACTGGCGATTGGGAGACACGGAGGTTGTCGGAGAGGCGTTCTGGAAATTTTGGAGCATTTTTAAAGCCAGAATTTCTTGAAAATCAAGGAAAACTAGCGAATTTGCAATTTTGTAGTTTGTAGTTTGTAGCCCAAAAGTCATTTCTAGACAAAAACGAGCAAAAACGGTTGAAAATTGGCCGAGAAACGAAGATTTTACGTTCTACTGAGGCTTATGAAATTTCGTAGTTTATAGTTTCTAAGCCTCAGTAAACGTTTCCACATCGTTTCTCGGACATTTTTGGCTCATTTTCAACCGCTTTTTCCTAATTTTTGGCTCAAAAATTGTCATTTTCTGAGCTGAAAATGGATACAACGGACATCTGGAAATGCGGACAAACAGATTTTGACAGAATTTTTTGTTGAAAAATTTTCGAAATTTTTGAAAAAGAATGGTTTTTTTCTAAAAATTCTGAAAATTGTCTTTAAAATCCAAGTTCCCGCAAAAATTTCCCCAAATGTATAGTTTGTAGTTTGTAGTCAACACAAAATTTGAGTCATTTCTAGACAAAAACGGGCGAAAACGGTTGAAAATTCGCTGAAATACGAAGATTTTCAATTTTTACTGAGGCTTATGAAATTCCGTAGTTTATAGTCTCTAAGCCTCAGTAAAAGTTCCCACACCGTTTTTCGGTCATTTTTGGTTCATTTTCAACCATTTTTTACGGTATTTTGGTCTTATCAGAGCTCAAGGCATAGCGACTACAAACTACAAAAATTCATAAGCCTCAGTAAAACTCAAAATTCGTTTTTTTGACAAACGAATTTTTACCATACTTGCAAAATTCCGGGCCGGCCCGTCGAGAATTTTGGCGGGCCGGGCCGATGAAGTGCCCGGCCCGCTGTTTGTACAGCAGCTGATTTTTTTTGAATTTTTTCGAAAATTTGATAATTTTTTCAAAAATTTAATCGAAAACTTTATATTTTTTGACTACTTTCCACTTTGAAAACTTTGAAAAAATAAGTAACTTATTATCTTTTTTAATTCAAAAAAATGTCCCAATTTTTCATTGGAAATTTTTTTACTAAAAACGGCGGGCCGGGGAAATTGTCGCTTCGGCCCGACCCGGCCCGTTGCAAGTATGATTTTTACTGAGGCTTAGAAATGTTTGTAGTTTGTAGCCAACACAAAATTTGAGTCATTTCTAGACGAAAACGAGCGAAAACGGTTGAAAATTGGCTGAGAAGCGCGAAGATTCAAATTTTACTGAGGCGTATGAAATTATGTAGTTTGTAGTCTCTAAGCCTCAGTAAAACTTCAAATCGCCGTATTTCGGCTCATTTTCACCCGTTTTTCGTGATTTTTGGCTCTTTTTGAGCAATTTTTCGTGCTTATTCGCCTAAAAAGTCTCGATTTCGGCTTATTTTCAACCGTTTTCAATGATTTTCGGCTCAAAAATTCAGATTTCTCACCCTGAATATCGTTCATCTGTCCGTTGTACTGATCCAGCTGACTTCCGAACACAACAAACGTCAGTCGTTTGAGCGCCTGAGCTCTCGCCTCGTATTCCTGCTCCTTGGATGTCATGATGGAGAAGGAGGCGTTGGGAGAGTAGGATATGCTCTTGAGGAGGTCCTGAAAATAAGGAAAAATTGGAAAATTTTCGGCGGGAATTTGATTTTTTTTGAGACTTTAGAAACTGTTTGTCTGTATTTCCAGATGTCCGTTGGGTCTTTTTTCAGCTCAGAAAGTGCCAATTTTTTGGATTTTTTTCGAGAGTCCAAATGCTTCTTCGTTTTACTGAGGCTAAGCGACTACAAACTACAAAATTTGCTAAGCCTCAGTAAATTTTTTTTTGAAATTTCTAGAGTCAAAATTGATTTTTTCCTCGATTTTTTGCAAAATTATTAGACCTTTTTATGCTTTTCAGCTATTTTTGAAGATTCTTTTTCGATTTTTCCGAATATTTTTGTCTCAAATTTGACTTCTCGACAGGAAGATTACTGTAGAAAACCTTGTATTTTGTAGTTTTTCTTGCAATTTTTTTCTGCATTTTGACGTGGATGTGTATGCAAAATTCAAAACTACAAACTACACAAGAAAATTAGATTTCTACAGTAATCTACAGTAATCCTTTCAGAATTCCATCGAATTTCAGACGAAAAAATTAGGGAAAAAACTAGAACGAATCTTCAAAAATAGCTGAAAAACCTAAAAAGGTCTTGAAATTTTGCAAAAAATCAAAGAAAAAATCAAGTTTGACTCTCGAAATGCCAAAAAAAAATTACTGAGGCTTAGGAAATTTTGTAGTTTGTAGCCGCTTAGCCTCAGTAAAACGAAGGAGCGCGTTGATGTTTCTTACTGAGGTTTGGAGGCCACAAACTACAAAACAATCTTAAGCCTCAGTAAACCTGAGGAGCGCTTCGATGTTTTAACTGAGGCTAAGAGACTACAAACTACAACACATTCCTAAGCCTCAGTAAAATTGAAAGCTTCGCGTTTCTCAACCAATTTTCAACCGTTTTCGATCGTTTTTGTTTAGAAATGACTCAAAACTTGTGGACTACAAACTACAAAAGTTGCTAAGCCTCAGTAAAAGCTTCAAAGTCCCATTTTCATGATTTTTTCTCCAAAAGTTGTCAAATTTTTACCTTCAAACTCGTAATATCATATTTCATTAGCTGTAGTTTATAGTCCCTTAGCCTCAGTAAATTGTGGCAAACATTTTCCTGGGGCTGAGAGGCTACAAACTACAAGAGTTGTGAAGCCTCAGTAAAAACCAAAAATCGTTAAAAATCAAACATTTTCTTTAGGGAAAACTAGCAAAAACTGTATCTCTGCTTATTTTTGTCTGATTTTCAGTCATACTGGGACAGAAATTACTCAAATTTTGTGTCGATTACACACTATAAAAGTTGCTAAGCCTCAGTAAAAGCGATTTTCATGATTTTTTCTCCAAAAAATAGGATTTGAAAGCGATTTTCCTGATTTTTTGAGTTTAAAATCATCAAATTTCAGTCATTTTTCCCCACAAATTGTCAAATTTTGGTTTTTTTTTTCAAAAAAACACCTTAAAACTCGTCCTATCATGCGTCATCAGATGATCCGTCACCACCAACCACTGCTTCAACGCCGCGTGATCCATTTTGAAGAATCCCGAGTCCAGCAACAAATCCAACGTCGTCTTCTTCCACACCGGTCGCATGTACGAGTACGATGACATAGAAGCCAACAATTGGGAGCTGGCCAAGAAGAATCTCGCGTTTCTCGCATTTTTAGCCTTCAGATACGGTACTACGTTCGCCCAAACTGCTTGAAGAGTGGGTAGTACCTTATCCTTCTCATCAGATTTCGACACAGAATCCAGAAGATCCGTGAGCCTCTCAGCCAAAAGGAAAAGAGCTTGAGTACTGTGTGCTGGGTCCCTCCGATTGTTATTAGTATCCTTAATTGATGCTCTGAGGTTCGATGAGCTCTTTTTCTCAGCCTTCTCTGTGGTTGTACTAGTAGATCCACTGGTTATCGATCCTCCAGGCTTATTTATCAAGCTCAACGTGGAATTTCTGGTGCTCTGTGACGCTTCTGATGATAAATTCGATATGGAGCTCTGCATTTCGATTATCGGACTCTGTTCCACTGATCTGATGCTGTTTGAATTGATTGAAGACGTGCCGTGGTCTTGTTTCACGACTAGTGTTCTTTTGAGCCACGTGGTTGTCTCCAGTTGCCAGCCGACGATGGCGTTGACGGCTTCGGCGAGACGGGAGCACACTTCTTGCACGTTTCGATACATGGCCTTGTCCTCGACGATATAGGCTCCGCCCACGCATTTTACAAAGTCGCTGAGGATTCTGGAAAAAGTGGAACTTCGCTGATTTTCTTATTTTTTGTAGTTTGTAGTCTCTCCGGTGAACAATTTTAAGCTAAAAATTTCAGAGCTTATAATTTGTTAAAAATTTGAAATTTTCGGAAAATTGACATTTTCAAAAATTTTCAAATTTCGCAACAAATTGAAAATTTCTGATTTTCAGTTTTTGTAGTTTATAGTTTGTAGTATACAATTTTAAGAGAAAACATTTTCAGAAAAATTGACCTAAAAATCACGAAAAACGATTGAAAAACGAAAAAAACGAAATTAGAAGCTTCTCAAGTTTTTTTACTGAGGCTTAGGAAATTTTGTAGTTTGTAGTCGCTTATCCTCAGTAAACCTAGTTTCACTGTTAGTGAGGCTAAGAGGATACAAACTACAACAATTTTTTAAGCCTCAGTAAACCTTTTGATCGTCGGGAGTTCACGAAAATCGGCGGGTGTTTTTACTGAGGCTTAGCGACTACAAACTACAAAACATTCCTAAGCCTCAGTAAAATTTTAAAATCTTCGTATTTGAGCTAATTTTCAACCGTTTTCAGTCATTTTTGGACAGAAATGACTGAAATTTCGTAGGCTACAAACTACAAACCACTTCCTAAGCCTCAGTAAACATGTAAAATCGTTAAAAATCAAGCCAGACTACAAACTACAAAAAAGCATAAGCCTCAGTAAAATCGAAATCTTCGCGTTTCTCAGCTGATTTACAACCGTTTTCATTCATTTTTGGGCATACATGACTCAAATTTTCGTGAACTACAAACTACAAAAACTTCCTTAGCCTCAGTAAAAACTTAAGTCGCTGAAAATCGAGCGTTTTCTATGGGTAAACTAGCGGAAACTGGAAGTTCCTATATCTCAGTCAATTTTCAACCATTTCCAGTCATTTTTGAACAGAACTTACTCAAATATCGTGGACTACAAACTACAAAACATTCCTAAGCCTCAGTAAAAACTTAATGTCGTCCAAAATGAAGGATTTTCTGAGACAACTAGCAAAATATGTATCTCGTGTAGTTTTCGCTCGTTTTCATCCATTTTTGGACTAAAAACTCACACAAAAAGCAGGAAAACCGCTCTGGCTGATAGTGCTGATAACGGCGCTTCTGAGAACAACGAGAGCAATGAACTCCAACACAATCGGAGCTGCGTCTGAAGCACTGCCGACACACAAGAATGCACCAGCTCCAACAGGGGCTCTTCAGTGGGGAAATTCGTCTTATCAATCGTAGTAATTCCAACTTTATTGGCCTTGAAAGACGCTTCCCGGAGTGTAGAGTTCACTGAAGAGATCAAATCCTCAAATGGGATGACTTGAAGAGAAAGGAGCAAGTTTGTAATGTCCAGTTGGGCGCTAGAGTACTCAAATGTCGCTCTATCCGGATCCTGTTTCCTCAGGGTTACTGTAGGCTTTGCAGTGCTTCTTGTTAGCCAAACCAACGCTAGGGAAGTGAGGAAAGCGTGTTTGTGGTGCTGAGCAATTGGGGAGAGGAGATGAAGGACAAGTCGTCGGAGCTGATTGTTGGTTCCAATAGGTACCAAGGGATTCTGTGCTCTTCTGACAACCGTCCACACATTGCATACTGTAGCCAGACTATGCGGTAGGGAAGTCAGCATATCCGATTGCGCCTGCCTCCATCCATTCCCATGCTGTCTAGAACTCTCCATCTTCGAGCTGAGGACTCCTCCAGAATCTCCACTCATCGAGAACACCTTTCCCAGCTGTGAGAAGAGCTCTGTGGCCACTTTGGAGCCCGGAATCACGGACATCGCATGGCCAACCATTGAAGTAGACGAGGGAGTGGTGCCATCGTTGATCTGAGCAGCTCCAGATGATGTCATGACTCCTCCAGAAGTCGTCGTGGTGGTTGGAGCACTGTCTATCACACAGAAATGCACCAGCGTCGTTAGCGATTCCAGTGTCATTGCTAGATAGTTGGCCGGATAGCTGTCTGGTTCGTCTCTCGTCTCTCCTGGAGAATCTACGACGACGTCGGACGTCGGCGGATTCTCATAGGCCACACTCATCGCGTTCTCCATATTCTTGCATAGTTGTTCGACGACGCGGCAGACGATCGTGGCGAGGGATCTGAAATGTTCGATTTTGGATGGATTTTTGTAGTTTGTAGCGATTTTTTGTGCCAAAAACCATCAAAAACAGTTTAAAATGAGGCTAGATACGGCGATTTTAAGTATTACTGGGGCTAAGGGACTACAAACTACAAAAGCTCTCTAAGCCTCAGTGAAACCTTCCAATCGCTATAACTCGGCTCATTTAAATCAGTTTTTCATGATTTTTCTGGAGATTCGAAATGATGGCCTAACTTTTGCAAGTTGAGTTTTCTAGGCAACCATGCTGAAATTGCCTAGAAATCACACCTGGTTGTTATTAGGTTAATTCTGGGTCATTTTAGCATGATGGCTTAGAAAACTCAAACTGCAAAAGTTAGGCCATCATGTCATCTAGACTACAAACTACAAAAAGCATCCTAAGCCTCAGTAAAGCTTGTAATTCTTTTTCAGTTAAAAAAAACGAAACTTTCTAGAGTTTCTACTAGAGCCTCTTCTAGACTACAAACTACAATCCTCTCTAAGCCTCAGTAAAGCTTGTAGCTCGGTTTAAAGCCATCTGTTTTAGCTTGTTTTTAGCTCAAGAAAATCCAATTTTCCTGGCTAGACTACAAACTACAAAATTTTCTAAACCTCAGTAAATATTTAAAATTGTCGAAAATTCACGAAAATCAGGTAGTTTTCGACCGTTTTTATGCATTTTTGGACATAAGTGCCTTTTCTAGACTACAAACTACAAATTCCTTACGGTAAGGGGTCCTTACCTCTCAACCCACGGCAGAATCTGCACAACAAACTGCAGCCACATCTCATGCCGGTGTGGTTGCTTCTTCAACGCATTCAGCAATATCAATAGGAACGCTCGGAGCTCCACAGTCGACGCATGTCCATCCCGAGAAGACGTCCGATTGTTGAATGATTGATTGATAACAGACTGGATGATCGAATATCGATGTGTCGATTGGGCATCGGAGAATGTCGAGAATCCTCGTTTGATATCACATTCCAAGCGTATCGCATGCGATGTGAACGTCAGAAGACTCCTGTGATAAGCAGCTAGAAGAGGTAACAGTCTTCTGGATTCTCCAACAAGTCCTTCGTTGAATTTACTGATTGATACTGATAAGGGACCGCCCAGCTTCCCATTCTCCATTGGATTATGATCTACCGCAGTCAACAACAGGTGTAAAAGACACTTCTGGAGCTTCGATCGATTCAGAATGGTCTGAACGAACTGAACGAATTGTTTGGATTCGTGCTCATTGAGCATTGCTGATAGCTCTCGAAATAGTTCACATAGGAATTCCAGTGCCGAAATTTTACACTTCCAGAGGGAAGCCAAGTCGGCTTCGGTGACGGGGGAGATTGGAGAGTTGAGGAAGTAGGAACGGAGGAAGTGGAGAGAGATCTGCAAATTGGAGAGACTACAAACTACACTTTTTCTGTATTTTTTTTCTGTATTTTTCACTGAAAACGGTTGAAAATGAGCCTAAACACAATGCGAAAACGTTTACTGAGGCTAAGAGACTACAAACTACACTTTTTTGATTTTCCTATATTTTGTAGTTTGTAGTCTCTAGTGTACAACTTTAGGCTAAAAATGTCAGAAATTCTAATCAAAAAATCACGAAAAACAATTTTTTGAATTTTTACTGAGGCTTAGCAAATTTTGTAGTTTGTAGTCGCTTAGCCTCAGTAAACATAGCATCACTTTTACTGAGGCTCAGAGCCTACAAACTACAAAGCATTCTTAAGCCTCAGGAAATCTTCAAAGATCAGTTAATTTTATTGTCTTTTGCTGAGGCTTAGAGACTACAAACTACAAAAATTCCTAAGCCTCAGTAAAATAGGAACCTTCGCGTTTCTCAGTCAATTTTCAACCGTTTTCGCTCGTTTTTGTCTAGGAATGACTCAAATTTCCTAGACTACAAAATACGAAATTTCGTAAGCCTCAGTAAAAATTCAAAATCGTCAAAAATCCATCATTTTACATGCATTTTGAAATCATTATTCAAAAATTCCTCAGAGACTAAAAACTACAAAATTTCCTAAGCCTCAGTAAAAATCGAAATCGTTCTAACTCGGCTCAATTTTACACGTTTTTAGCTCAAAAAATTCCAATTTTTCCAGAGCCTCTCCTAGACTACAAACTACAAAAACCTACCGTAATCAACAATTCCAACAGCGTAAAATGCTTGTGTTTCTCCTCATCCGACGCCGGTGCCGACCAGAAATGCTGTCCAAGTATCGCGCGAACGTGTCGTTGCATGAGCTCAACCAGCGATTGCTCAGCCGAACCACCTTCAGAAGACGTTCCCGAAGACGTCGTCGTCCCAGAAGACACCAAACAATTGAGCAACATTCGATTCCCCGTGGCTCCACGTGGCGCCAAAAGTGCCGTAAGGATTCTGAAGGCCGTTTCTGCTCTAGCCAAGTCCACAACTTTTCCAGATTCTCCATAAAGGAGCATGTGGGTGTGCATCTCTTCGAAAAGTGAGGATCCAGAGGTTGATCCACCGGTAGAACTGGCTGAGGATACTGTACCTACTACTGTACCAGTCGGGAGGATGGTTTCCCGGGTGGATGACGTCGTGGCGGTGCCTCTGAGGGATTCCGTAGATGGTCGGAAGATTTCCGAGGTGTCAAAAGCACACAAATCCTTTTCTGTCATGTTAAATATTGATTCCTGAAGCGAATCTTGTCGTCTATGGCCTTTTTTGACTCGCTGGACGGCTGCGATAGGAGCCGGTCGATCTTCAGGGCTCTCCTCTTGCTCCTCATGCTCATTCAAGTTGAATCTGGCTCCCGATGCCTCTAGATTGCTCAGATTCAACAGATCATGTAGTCGTTCTCGTTCCTCATACTCCTGACAAACTTCGTCCACTAGAATCGCTAGAATATCCTTTACCACGTCTTCAGGACTCTCATTTCCCATGGAGAGGGTGTCTAGGGAATCAGTGTCGTCGTCAAACGCGGGAAGGACTTCTGTAGATGGGATGATGTGCGCTTGGAGGGCTTCAGAAGTCTCCTCGCCCGCCGAAGCCCTGAGCAATCGATTTCTGACTTCTGTGAGATAGGAAGCATCCGAATCCGCGCCAGAACCCGTTACATGGTATAGCCTCTGTTTTCCATCGATAGTCATCAGAGTCACAGCAGCGACGTCGCTTGGAATCGCTGAACAATCCTCGTTGGTTAACTTGGAGTCTTGTCGGATGTACTGAATCGAAATCCTAGCTGTCACAGGATTCATAAGCATCGTGGAGAGCATTTGAACGATTTTGGGGAGATCCTGATGCTTAGAGCAGTCTTGAAACCATGCAGAAGCTGCAGCTTTGAGCTCTGTTCTCGTTTTAGAGACACTCTCATCTGCCAAAACTCCCAGAAGAATCATAACAGCTCGATTGAAAGGCTTTCTGTAGATTCCACCAGCCTCTTCTAGGTTTCTAGTGAGCACCCAGACTCTGTGGAACGTCCTGGCAGCTTTTGTGCATACTAGATCATCTGTAGAGGTTAGAGCTTGCACTACAATGGATTCCACGTCACTGGATGCTTCTTGAGGTCTTCTAGAGTGTAGCTCGACTAGAAGACGTGCTAGGCGTTGTTGCTCACAACAGAATTTTCTAGAAGCGATGCCAAGCCACACGGCTTCTCCGCAAGTCCCAAACACCTTTCCTTGTTCGATAAACTGGATGTCACGACGGCCGAGAAGCGGTTTTAGGAGCACATGAGTCATTTCATCGTAGAAATCATCTTGTGGACGATGGGCGGCCTCTTCGTGTTGCTGTAGGACGGACACAGACTTGACGTAGATCTTGCAGAGGAGTTCTAGAAGGGATGCTCTCGCCGAGACATCTGAGCAATGACCATTCCGCATTTCCTTCAACCATCCGGGACCATCAATCACTTTTAGCATGTTCTTAAGCCATTGTTGAACTTCTGAAGGTACGTCTTCTGGATTATCAACGACGTCGAAGCCCAGATAGTAGATGGGGACTTCTAAGAAGGCGTTGAGGAGTGCTGTGGAGGCGTCGATGAGGGGAATCAGAGAGGGATCACGGCGAGTGGTGTAGATTTCGAAAATTGTGGAGAGGGCGGAGACACATTGGGTTAGGCAGGCGTCCGTTTGACTTCGTTCTGCAAGGATTGGGGATTTTTGGGATTTTCAGCTAGAGTTTTCATCTTAACGTGTTTGTCTGTCTGTCCGGATGTCCAAAAATCTATTTTTTTTTGGGATTTCCAGCGATTTTTTTTGGGGATTTTGCAGCTAGATTGCCAGTTAAACGTGTCTGTATGTCTGTCGGCTTGTCCAGATGTCCAATGTTTTATATCTGTAGTTCTGTCTGTCTGTCCACATGCCCACAAAACTCAATTTCGTGCTAAAATGGAAAAAAAGAGATGAAAAAAAAAGGATTTTTGGATTTTCAGCTGGAAATCGTGTCTGTCTGTCAGTCAGCTTGTCCCGATGCCTGAGATATCGATTTTCTGTTTGTCTGTCTGTCCAGATGTTTAGTTATTCTATTTCTGTAGTTCTGTCTGTCTGTCTGTTTGTCCAGTTTTAACCCCAAAAACCATACTTGTGAAATTTCGGCCCGGCCCGGTTCGGCCCGGCCCGCCCCGGGCCGGGCCGAGAGAAAATTTTCAGGGCCCGGCCCGGCGGCCCGGCAGAAAAAAAACAAAATTTTTGAAAAATGAATTTAAACAGCCGCCATTTTTGTCAAAGCGATAAACAACGCGAATGCGGAATTTCGGAGCATCGTATTTAAAACATTTTTTTTTGATTTTATTTATTGATTTTTAGAATGTATTGAAAAATAACTCGAAGAAAAAAAACACTGAATACCTTTTTTCGAAACAATGATTCAACTTTTCGCTCAAGATTTTGAAGTTCGCGGTAAACTTCCGGGCCGACCGGGCCGACCGGGCCGGTGAAATTCGTGTTTCGGCCCGGCCCGGCCCTTCACAAGTATGCCAAAAACCAATTTTTTCCAGAAAAAAGAGATTTTTCGAGATTCTCAGCGAGTTTTTCAGATTCTCTGTCTGTTTGTCTGTCCAAATGTCTCAAAAATGAAAAAATAAAACCAAAAACCGAACCATGCTCAATAGCGGTGACCTCCTGGCTCAGCGACAACGAGTCCTCGGCGATTTCGTCAACTAAAAAGAAAAATGGGTTAGGATTAGGGACCAAAAAAGGAAGGAAAAATTCCCAAAAACTCAGAAAAATAGAGATTAGGACGTTTTTGCATTATTGGGTTGTTTTGTTGCAAGTGCGCTCCAACAAACAACTCTAGTCGTTATTTCGTTAGAGCACACTTTCGTTAGACCATTTTTAGAAGATTTTCGTTGAAGCTTTTTCGTTAGAGCTGAAACTCGAGGTTTTCGGTAGAGCGCGTTTGCAATTTCGCAACTTATTACCTAATAAAACCGAATAAATGGTTAATGCAAATGCGCTCCGAAATTAGGTGTTTTCCGCTAAAAACGACCTATTTTAACCAAGCCTTCAAATTAGTAGATAATGCAAATGCGCTCCACCGAAATTTCGTTAGTTTTCAGCCAAATTTGGTCCAATTTAGACCCAAATTGGCCAAAACTTCCCACCTTCAATCGGCGATTGCGGATGCGCCGTTGAAATCTCCAGCAACTTCTGGCACACTGTGTAAAGCTTTAAAAGATCCTGCTGATCACACTCCGATATCAATGACTTATTCGACAGCCCCTCCAGTATCGTCTCCAGAAGACGTGGCAAGTGCTGTGTCCGTATGGCGGGGTCTGATTCGACATTGCTCATTTCTAGGCAGATGGAGACGACTTGGGAGAAGTCGTGGATCGATTTTTTGCCTTCTGACCCCTCCTCGACGATTCGCTGGTACCATGTTCCCAGGAAATTCCATAAGAAACCAGGTTCCAGGGAGTTTAGAAGCATATTGAACGTTTTGGAGAGCTCATCGACTCGCCGAGATTGGATAGATGGCTCTCCTTCTGGAGCAGTGACGTCTTCTGAATTCCCAGAGACCCCGGAATGCAAAGAATTCAAGTCTAAATGAAGTCCTTCTCGATCTCCAGGCTTTCTGGGTGGCTTTGAATCCGGTCGTTTCTTAATCAGCTTGATATTAGATCCCTGATGAAATTCCGCGGATTTTTTCAAAAAATCCGAGAACACAGTCTCCAGAATAGTTCTTCCTATATCCGCTCGGTCCTGTAGGTACAGTAGGAGTCGACAAACTCTCACTTCAGCGAATTGCACTTGCTCCGCCTCCTTCCGATCACCCCATATCGATTGTTGGGGATTTGCAAATGGAGTTTCAATGATATCCAGTGCCAAATATTGCTCCAGAGCTCCATGAACCAGTCCTAACACTTTCTCCTTGAAGAACGAGAGCTCCAAACCATCATCCGGTCCACCTAATCCCGAAACGCCACGTGTCTCGCCGCTTCGATTGATCAGCCACGTGTAGAGACGACGATTCAGAGACATATCACGACGAAGGACTACAAATAGGCATCGACGGAGCAGCTGGACAAAATCCTCATCTGTTAGATTCGTGGAATCCAATGGAAACGCTGCGCACAGAAAGTCTAGAAGATATCGTTGGACTAGTGGGGAGCCAGTGTCATCGGCAACTGCACAGAGGGCGGCGACCTGGAACATTTTTAGTTTGTAGTTTGTAGTTTGTAGCCTACAAATTTAGATTCATTTCTAGACAAAAACGAACGAAAACGGTTGAAAACGATCCGAGTTACGACGATATCAAGATTTTACTGAGGCTTAGGAATTCCTGTAGTTTGGATTTCGAGTTTACTGAGGCTTCCACTACAAACTACAAAATTTTCTAAGCCTCAGTAAAACTGAAAATTGCCGTATCTCGACTCATTTTCAACCGTTTTTAACCATTTTTTCGCGATTTTTTGGCTGAAAAAGTTTACCATATGATTAACATGATCTCCAACCAAATGAATCTGATCATCCAGACTTTTCAGCTTATCAAACTTTGCATTCACATAAATCATGGCCGGCAGTCTAACAGGTGGTGATCCAAGGATGGCTTGCCATAGACACGCGTAGAATGCTCGTGGACCAACTTTCTCGCAGACTCGATCCAGGAGAATGAATGATCTGAAATTGTAGTTTGTAGTCAAATTCTATAAATTTTGGTCTAAAAATCATTGAAAACGGTTGAAAACTAGCCGAGTTAGGGCGATATTCATTTTTACTGAGGCTTAGTAAATCTTGTAGTTTGTAGTCTTAGCCTCAGTGAAATCTTAAAATCATCGTAACTTGCCTAGTTTTCAACCGTTTTCAATGGTTTTTTCTTAATTTTTTGTAGTTTGTAGTCATTTTGTAGTCTTTGTAGCTTCTCTATACCTCTCATAAAACTCTGTTCCCTCCTCCAACGCCAACAAAACACCGCCAAGGAATCCGGGAAGTGCTGGTCGCAGGTTTGCTCCCAATGGCACCAAATAATTCTCAAAAATCGCGAAAAGCTCCGATTTTACTTTAATACCACAATGATCCATAAGTGGGAATAGGCCAACGGCGAACAGATAGAGACATTCGGGAAGCTTCGATGGTCCAAGAATTTCAAAGATGATTTTGTACGTTTCCAGTGCTTTCAGATGGACACCTGAAACGAAAATTATAGAAATTTTGGGGAATTTTTTGCTAAAAACGGGAAAAAGTGAGTGAAATAGAGCCGATTCTATGGCGATTTTCATTTTTACTGAGGCTTAGGAAATTTTGTAGTTTGTAGTCTATGAGTTTTGGTTTAAAATTCGTGATTTTTCTAGAGTTTTTCACTGAAAATCGTTATTTTTTGACCTAGAAATGTTTAAAAACCACTGAAGCGAGTGAAAATGAGCCGAAATACGGCGATTTTCATTTTTACTGAGTCTTAGAAAGTTTTGTAGTTTGTAGTCTCTTAGCCTCAGTAAAATCTTCAAATCCTCGTAACTTGACCAGTTTTCAACCGCTTTCGCTCGTTTTTGTCTAGAATTGATTCAAATTTTGTTGGCTACAAACTACAAAACATTCCTAAGTCTCAGTAAAAAATTCAACTGAGAAAAAACAGAAATTATTGAAAGAATCAAATTTTCAGTCAATTTCAGCAAATTTTTTCTGGATATTCGAAATTCTTATATTGTAGTTTGTAGTCGACAGGAAAATTCTAGAAATTTTGATCTAAAAACCACTAAAACGACTAAAATTGAGCCGAATTAGGGCGATTTTAATTTTTACTGAGGCTTATGAAATTCTTGTAGTTTGTAGTCGCTAAGCCTCAGTGAAATCTTTAGATCGTGGTAGCTCGGCTCGTTTTCGTCCGTTTTTCATGACTTTTGGACCAAAATTCGTGATTTTTTCGGTGAAAACCCTTACCCATGGGAAGTGCCGGATGTAGACATTGTGATAGACGTTTGGCGACGGTGACCCGATTCGGAATCGCACAATATTTTGCATTCGATTGGAATACCTGGAAAATGGGTTTTTTAGCTTGAAAATTGGAATTTTCGGCAATTTTGAAAGATTTTTTACCCAAAAAACCGAGTTTTGCACTAAAAAAATGCTTGTTTTCAGCCAGAAAAACGAAACTTTCAGGGTTTTTGAGATTTTCGCCCATAAACAGCCATTTTTCGGCTAGAAAACCCCAATTTTTGGTTTTTTAAACAGAAAAAAAATCGAGGAAAAACGCACTTTAGCCAATTTTCCCAGTGCCGAAATCAAATCCGCCCACTCATTCGGCGTTTCGAACGTTTTCAGTGCCTGATCGACGGCTTTTGCGAATGCCCGGTACTTGCTATCCTTCTCACGACCCGCTGGCACATCTCCACCCGACGCTGATGCCATTTTGTGTGTTTTTGAGAGCTGAAAGTACTTTTTGAATTTTGCGCCATAAAAGTGGGAAAATATCGGTAAAATTGGAGAAGAGAGCAATAAAACTGGCGAAAAATGACCCAAAATGGGATTTTTAAAGAGGAAAATTCCAGAAAAATTATCAAAAAAGGGAGAAAAATGACTGAAATTTGAATCTTTGAGAGCAAATTCCAGAAAAAAGGTTAAAAATTAGAGAGAAATGACCGAAATTCGGATTTTAAGAAAGAAAATTCTGGAAATTTTGATTTTTGAACTTCTGAAACGGCGATATAATTCCAGAAAAAAAGGCTAAATTTGACTGAAAAAGTGTGAGAGATGACGTGGCAAAAAATAGAGTTTGAAATTCTGAAAAACAGGTGAAAAACATTAAAAACAAATTTCGTAGTTTGTAGTTTCGACAATTTTCAATTAAAAATTGAAACATTTTGAGCCAAAAACCATCGAAAAAAGTTGAAAACTGGCCGAGTTACGAATATTTGAAGATTTTACTGAGGCTAAGAGACTACAAACTACAAATTCTTTTAGCCTCAGTAAAACTTAAAATCGCCGTAACTCGGCCAATTTCCAACGGTTTTTGCCCGCTTTTGCCTAGAAATGGCTCAAATTTTGTCGACTACAAACGACAATTAGTCCTGAGCCTCAGAAAAAAATTTTGAAAACATTTCATCTGTCAGAAATCCTGAAAAAACATGTGAAAACAATTTGGGAGATTTTTGTAGTTTGTAGTCTATGAATTTGTAACTAAACAGGAAAAAGTTTTCGAGCCAAGAATCATCGAAAATGGTTGAAAATGTGCCAAGATACGACGATTTCAAGTTTTACTGAGGATTAGTGACTACAAACTACAAAACTTCGCTAAGCCTCAGTAAAACTATAATTCGCTGTAACTCGGCTCATTTTGGGCCTATTTTTTTAGTTTTTTAGTACAAAAATGTCTCAGATTTTCTAAATTTGAATTGTTTCGCAGAAACTATAAACTACAGCATTTTCTAAACCTAGAAAAAAACACGAATTTTGGTCCAAAAATTATGGAAAACAGTGGAAAACTAGCCAAGTTACGACTACCATAGTTTTTACTGAGGCTTAGCGACTACAAACTACAAACCCCCTTAGCCTCAGTAAAACTTAAAATCTCCGTAACTCGGCTCATTTTGAACGTATTTTTTGGTTTTTCGGCTCGAAACGCCTCAATTTTTCTCAGGAATTTTCCGTGGAGAGGGACAGGTGGAAAAACATCTGAAAAATAAAAAAAAAAGAGAAAAAAAGAGGAAAATCTGATTTAAAGAAGGGATTATTCATATTCTTATGTCCCTAATGCTGGAAAAGGGTGAATAAAAAAGATTTTTGGATTTTCTAGGGATTTAAAAGGAAGAAATTAAGCCAATTTCGAATGAAATCAATTTCCCCGAGGTTTAGCAATTTTTGTAGTTTGTAGTTTCTTCGAAAAATTCAAATTAAATAAAAATTAGATAGGGGTTGAGTCATTTCTAGACAAAAACTAGCAAAATCGGTTCAAAACTAGCCGAGTTACGGTGATTTTAATATTTTACTGAGGCTTACACTACAAACTACAAGATTTGCTAAGCCTCAGTAAAACTTAAAACTGCCGTATCTCGTCTAATTCTCAACCATTTTTGTCGGTTTTTGGTACAAAATATCTGTCTTTCAACGCTTCAAACTACAAAACATCATAGGCCCCAGTTTCACTGTGGCTAAGCGACTACAAACTACAAAACTTGCTAAGCCTCAGTAAAAAAAAATTTCGCGTTTTTTCGCAAAAAAGAAGGCAACGTCATCTGTTTCTTCCACTTGAGGTGATTCTGAATTTCATAAGAAGGGGAAAAATGTCTTTTTTTTTCTTTTTTCTCTTTTTCTCTAACATCTCAAACATCATAAAAAAGGGATAAAAATTGATAGAAAAGGATAGGAATGGAGAGAAAAAGGAGAATTAAAAATTCAATATTATAAAAATGTGTGAGAAAATGAAAAAAAAATCGGAAGATAAATATAAATATGGAATCGGAATTGAATCGTTTTTCGGCGCCGATCGAAAGGAAGAGAACGAGAGAGTGTGTGTTATGAAGAGACGCAGACACGGCGCGTGTCAAGTGAGGAGAGAGGGTGTGGCATGGAGAGACGCAGACACACAGAGAGGGAGAGAAGAGGAGAGCCGTTCGCTTGGGGAGGTGAAAGGTGACACGTGGATTTTCTGTAGAAAATGACTGAAAATAGCCAAAACTACAACCTACAAAAAATTCTAAGCCTCGGGAAAAGTGGAAATATCTGAAAATTCACGATTTTTGGTCTAAAAATCATGAAAAACAGTTGAAAACAAGCCGAGTTACAACGATTTGAAGATTTTACTGAGGCTTACACTACAAACTACAAAAATCCCTAAGCTTCAGTAAAAATTAAAACTGCCATAACTCGGCTCATTTTCACTCGTTTTCGCTCGTTTTTTGTCTAGAAATGACTCAAATTTTGTCGACTACAAACTACAAATATTTCTAAGCCACAGGAAAATGAAAATTGCTGAAATTAGGCTTTTTTTTCTGAAAATCTGAAAATAAATTTTCAGAAAACTGAAAATAGCGGAAACTACAAACTACAAAATTTTCTAATCCTCACAATCAGGAAAACATCAGAACTGACGAAAACTCTTGAAAACTTGGGAGTTGGAAACAAACACTTCAGAAGAAGACGTCTTCACCGGAAGAAGAATAAAAAAGTGGGCGGAGTCGGCACGACGCCTCCGTCATTTTCCATTTCTATTTATTTATATAACCCTCATATATATTTATATTGCTCTTTTGAAATGGAAAACTCAAAGAAAGAGTATTTGCGCGTAAGATATGGTGTGTTGTACGCAATTGCACTGCATACAGAAATCAAAAAAGTTTATTTGGCAGAAAAAGGACAAAAACTGGAGAATTAAAAGGGGGAAAATGACAAAAAAATATCATATAAATAGGCGAAAAGTTATAAATGTTAGTTTTTTAAAAGTAAATATTGAAAATTGAGAGAAAATATTAATAGAAATCTATAAAATATGGGGAAAATAGTTTAAAATGGGATTTTTTAAATTTTTTCCTTTTTTTTTGTAAAGTCAATATTGAAAATAGATGGAAAATAGTGATAAAAAGCTATAAAGTATGTAAAGATATAGATTAAATCGCGCCGAAGGCGCACCAAACAGGCTGGTATCAATAAAAAGCTATAAAATATGTAAAAATGGCTTGAAATGTGCGATTTTCCAATGCCAAGCATTGAAAAAAATCACCAAACAATCATAAAAATATAACGTCTTCCTTGTTTTCTTCGATCTTTTTGCAGGGCAATATGCATTGGCTGAGCTCCTTCTTCAAGCACCACCACGTCTTCAATCTCATCTTCCTCATCACTTTGCTCCAAATTCCATACTCTTGAGATCCTTGTACATTCTTCAATTTCATACTGCTGAATTGGGGCATTTTCAAAGGATAGGTTGTATAGGTTGTGTCCAATTGTTGCCATCCTTCCATCAGCTCTAGTTATGTCGAAGCCACCATGCAATTGATACAACTGATTGTCATTGGTGAATCTTTAAAATTATGAACATTTTAATTATTTCTCTTCATCTACAGTACCAGTCAATAAGAATTTGACGCAGTTCAAAGATTCTAGCTTCATTTAAAATTCCTTTTTTTGAGATTTTTTGAAAGAATTTTATAAAAGTTTGCGTCTAATCGAAAAACAGTCAAAATTTCCTTCAATCCTGTCCAAAAATCACGTTTCTAGCGCATCTAGGAACCGAGATACAGCGATTTGAAGTTTCCAAGGTTAGAGACGCAGACGACGAGACACACTGCGTCCCTAACCTCCTAACACTTCAAATGGCTGTATCTCGACTCTCCGTGCTCCGATTTTGTTGGTTTTTGGCTCAAATTTTGGTACTGTATTTCTGAGACAAAATCTCTTACCTAAACGTCTTTCTAGTTCTTCTAAAGTCTCCTAATTCAGCATCTAGTCCTTCCAACATCGTTCTTCACTTCACTCTCTCTTTCAGAGGCAACCTAATCTCTTGGATCCTTCCATTTGATGTTTCTTCCTTCCAACTTCTCAAAAACTGATTCATATCCAAATTGGTCAGGTCAGTTTGATAAAAATCCATTCTGATTGCATCCATGCTTCTCATCATTTTCCTATCCAACCAATCTTTGCCACTTCCAGTCAACACATCCATTTTGAAGTTTACAGAAGAAACTTGGCAACGTTCAGAATACGTAGTCTGTATTTCCATGCGTCCAACGTCTCGTGTCATGTTCTCCAATAGGAATTTGAGACTTGGTTCGTCTTTAGCTACAACATTCAGAGATGGTATCTTTCCAGATTCCCAATTGAAACCATTCATCCATTCCACATATGGCTTCATCTTTTCTGCATTCCATTCCTCTCCAATTTCTAATCGCAATGTTTCATGTTTCACTTCAAAGACCTCTTGTAATTGGACCACGAGGAATACGAAATTCTCACAGGAATTCTTGAAATATACTGGATAATGAAAGTTACCCTTGTAGAACCATTCACTCCCGGTGAACGGTACGAAATGAAGTCTCCAAGATTTTACAATCCGATTTTGTGAATCCCGAGTGACCAAGTCAACTTGAGAGAAGTTGTTGAATGAGGATATATGCATTCCAAGTGTTTGTTTTCTGATTGATTTCGATATTGATGTAGTCCTTTTTGAAAGTGTGGAGAAATGGAATCTCGAAGAAAACATAATAATTGGATGGCATAACTTTGAGCTCAATTATCTCGGCTTTTGTAGCAGATATTTAAAAATTGTCAACTAACAAAATGTTATTGATCTTGTGATAAACATTTTATCAGTTGATCATTTTTTTTTATATCTGTCACAGGACTCGAGGTAATTAGGGTTGAAGTGGCAGGTGCACCCCCTTGATTCTCATCTCTCGAGAGGTTCGATTACTTTGACCTAACTTATTTCGGTTCCTGTGAGAGATATCAAAAAGTGGTCAACAAACAAAGTATTGCTGATATAATGATAAACATTTTATCAGTTGACTATTTTTTTTGTATCTGTTACAGTAACCGAGATATATAAGCTTAACGTTAAGTGGACTTCTATTAAAGCGTTTAGGATAGCTTACATTTCCGTTAATTCCCAATTTGCATAAATTTCGCTTTGAATGACGTGGGGAAGTTTGAAAAGTGAAATTCGGGTCCGATTTGGTGGTGGAGAAGACATTTTTCTGGAATTTTGTTTTAAAAATAAGTTTGTGGCGATAAAAGGAACACAAGATTGTTGGTTTAGGGTTTTCAATGGTCCAAGGGGTGCATGAAATGAGGCAGGTGGCTGGTTGGACACATATCGATTGGGAAAGGACGGACCAGGCAAAATGGCTCTTTCTCTCCAAGATGAGCGGATAATGAAGGGCAATGGCCATCTGCCTCATTCCGTGCGTGCATTGGACCATAATCCTTTGCAAACCAACCATTTTTGTGTTCCTCTTGTCCAAGATCATTTTTAAGTCAAATTTTAGGAAAAATGTCATCTTCTATTTCAAATCGAACCCGTATCCGACTTTTCAAACTTCCATACCTCGTGCAAAACGAAATTTATGCGTATTGGGATTTAATTGAAATGTAAGTTATCGTAAACATTCTAACAGAAGCCCACCCAATGTTAAGCCCATATATCTCGGTTCCTTCAACAGATTTCAAAAAATAGTTAACTGACAAAATGTTTATCATAATATCATTAACATTTTGTCAGTTGATTATTTTTTAATATCTGTTACTGGAACCGAGATAAGTGAACTCAAAATTATGTCATCCAATTATTAATTTTCTCTTCAGATTCCACTTCTCAAGAATCTCAAAAAGGACTACATCAATTTCAAAAAAACTCAGAAAAGATAAAAATCTTGCGATGGATTTATCCCCCTTCAGTGATTGCTCTCAAATTATGCTATATACTCGGTAAATGGGCTGGAATCGAAAATATTGGAGACTTCGATTCCATCCGCTGACAGGATATGGTATGCCCTACAAAGATGATGACTATTATCAAGTGTACATGAAGAATTCCAGTGAGAATTTCGTATTCCTCGTGGACCATTTACAAGATGTCTTTGAAGTGAAAATTGGAGCATTGGAACTAGGTGTCAGAGAGGGAATGAACGTAGAGAAGATGAAGCCGTATGTGGAATGGATGAATGGTTTCAATTGGGAATTGGGAAAGATACCAGCTCTAAGGGTGGTGTCATCGAGGAACGAGCTAAGTCTCAAATTCCTATTAGAAAACCTGAAGCAAGGTGTTGAACGGATGGATATAGAGGTTTTATATTGTCGAAATCCCATAAAGTGCTCTTCCGTAAACTTCAAAGTGGATGTATTGACTGGAAACGGAGAGGAATGGTTGGCAACAGAAACGATGAAAAGTATCGATCCAATTAGAATGGATTTACGGGAGACTCATTTAAGCAATTTGGATATGAATCAGTTTTTGAGAAGTTGGAAGGAAGGAACATCAAATGGAAGGATCCAAGAGATTAGGTTGCCTCTCAAAGAGAGAGTGAAATGGAGAACGATGTTGGATGGATTGGATGCTGAATTAGGAGACTTCAGAAGAACTAGAAAGACGTTTAGGTAAGAGATTTTGTCTCAGAAATACAGTACCAAATTTTGAGCCAAAAACCAACAAAATCGGAGCACGGAGAGTCGAGATACAGCCATTTGAAGTGTTAGGAGGTTAGGGACGCAGTGTGTCTCGTCGTCTGCGTCTCTAACCTTGGAAACTTCAAATCGCTGTCTCTCGGTTCCTAGATGCGCTAGAAACGTGATTTTTGGACAGAATTAAAGAAAATGTTGGCTGTTTGTTTTTATTAGAAACAAATGTTTACAAAATTGTTCTGAAAAAACCTCAAAATAAATTTGAAATCGAATCAAATTCGCTAAAAAGCGCGTTTTTGTATATTTTACTATAGCTATAGATGAAAGGAAAATTTAAAACTTTAAAATGTTTAAAGATTCACCAATGACAATCAGTTGTATCAATTGCATGGTGGCTTCGACATAACTAGAGCTGATGGAAGGATGGCAACCATTGGACACCATGGATACAACCTGTCCCACGAAGATAATCCATGGCAACAGTTTGAGATTGAAGAATGTGCAAGAATCTCAAGAGTGTGGAATTTGGAAGAAAGTGATGAGGAAGATGAGATTGAAAAGGGAGATGGTCAAGGGTATATCGAATGGATAAAGCGATATAGAAGAGAAGAAAGACGCAATATCTTTATGATTGTGTGGTGAAGCAAACTAGAAGAGCTCTCTTAACTTTGAGTTCAATTATCTCATTTCCTGAAAGAGATATCAGAAAGTGGTCAACAGATAAAATTTTTGTCATAATATCACCAATATTTTATCAGTTGACAAATGTTTGATATCTATTACAGGAAATGAGATATATTTGCTCAACCTTAACAATATACGATAATTCCTGGAATTTCTGGATTTTTTCTAGCAGTTTTTCTTATCATTATGTTGTCATCTTTATCTAATTTTGCACTTTTTTTTCAATATTTCAAAATAAATTGTTCTTGCTTTTTCCTTTCCTTTTTCCTTATTTGCATACATATATTACTGTGAAACTAGGCCACCCGACCCGCCAACTTTGAGCCCATGTATCTTGATTCTTGTGAGAGATATCAAAAAGTAATCAACTGATAAACTGCTTCTCATAATATCAGCAATATTCTATTAGTTTATTACTTTTTGTTATCTTTCACAGGAACTGAGATAATTGAGTTCAAAGTAATTGGACCTCCCGAGAGGTGAGAGGCAAAGAGGGGAGCACCTGTCTGTTTAAACTTATATATTTCAGTTCCTGTAATAGATATCAAAATATGGTCAACTAACAAACTTTTTCTGATATTATGATAAAAAAATTATCAGTTGACACCTTTGTGGTATCTCTTACTGGAACCAAGATACATGAGCTCAAAGTTTACAGGATTTTGTGTACACTGCTCACCAAAATTACAGTAACCTCAATAAAATTTTTATTTTTTTTTCAAGTGACCGGCAGACCAAAAAAGAACCAAAAGACCTTGAAATCTAGAAGATTTCGAAAGTAGAAAAAAGGACAAAAAGGCCATAAAATGATCGGGGAAACCCATAAAAATTCACAGTCCGTCGAATTGAACGACCGCCAAAAAATGTTCCCATCATTTATTTGAATTTTCGTCTTATTTTTTTGCTTATTTTAGGTAAATATTGCTGAAAGTGTGAGAAAATATGCTGTAAAATTCAAAAATCCTAGAAAATTCCTGAAAAAACGGATAGAAATTGTTGAAAATGATGATTTCTAGGTTATCTGTCTGTAAACCTGTAAATCCAGATGTCCGTCTTATCAATAGAAATAAAAAGTCTATTTTTGGATTCTTTTTGTCTCCTGGAAATAAATGTTTTATTGTTTTTACTGATAATGTTTCTTATTTTTAGATTTTTATTTTTCCAGAATTTTCCAAATTTATTTTTTTTCCAATTTGGCGAATTTTTCCAAAAAATAAAATTTTGTTCAAAAAAAAAGGTGTGACTCGATTTGATAAAGAAGAATAACATGTTTATTTTTTTGGTAAATACATACATACATAAAAAATAATGTTCTGTTTATTTCATACTTTTTGAATGTAAACCGGAAAATAATTTTTTTTTTTTGGAATTCAAAATTTTCGATCCCTAAAGTTTAGACTCAAAAATCTCAATTTCCAGAGAAGATTAAAAAAAAGTGGTCAACTAGTAAAATGTAGAAAATTTAATTCTCTATATTTTTTTAGTTGATTACTTTATTGTATCTTTTTTAGAAATTGTGATAATTAGGGTCAAAGTAGGTAGGGTCCCCTTCCATCTTCCTCTCGGCTGTCGCGCCTTCCACCCCACCTACTTTGACCCTAGTTATTTCAATTTCTAAATAAGATTTTAAAAAAGTGGTCAATTACTAAAATGTAGGAAATTCAATGGTCTATATTTTACGAAGTGACCACTTTTTAAAATGTTGACTGAGAGCCGAGTTATGGACGGTGGAAAGAGCGGTCCCCCGGTGCGCCAGGAGGGGGGAGAGAGGGCGCCACCCACCCCAACTGTTTTGACCCTAATTAACTCAATTTCTCGAAAAGATACCTAAAAGTAGTAAATTTAAAAAAAGTTAGGAAATTTAATTTTACACATTTTACTAGTTGACCACGTTTTTGTATCTTTACCGAGAACCAAGATATGGACCGTGGAAAGAGCGGTCTCATGGAGCGCCATGAGGGGGGAGGGTGCCGCCCAACCCACCTACTTGGATCCTAATTATCTCAATTTCTAGAATAGATACCAAAAAGTGATCAGCTAATAAAATGCAGGAAATTTATTTTTACACATTTTACTAGTTGATCACTTTTTTGTAACTTTTATAGAAATGGAGATAATTTGAGCCAAAGTAAACTGATTTTTTTCGTTGAAAAATCGGAATTTTTGGTTCCAAAAAAGCTGAGAACTTTCTAGAAAAAGGGCTAAAATTGTGATGGAATTTGATAAAAAGCTCTGAAACTTAAAAACTAGCCAAAAAATTGGATTATTTGAAAGTTTTTAGAAAATTCATAATTCCCAAAAAATTCAAATTTTCTAAAATTCCATTTTAATGCATTTCCTGTCTTTTTAATCTATTTTTTCATCTAATTCATTTTCTTATTCTTTTCTCGATTTCAATTCATCATAATTTGTCCCATTCTTTCTTTATCTTGATTAATTATTCCAAAAATCTCGCCCTTCCTTCTCTCTCTCTCTCTCTCTCTCTCTCTCTCTCTCTCTCTCTCTCTCTCTCTCTCTTTTCTGAAAAAACTAGTTCTCTCTGAAATTTCCCAAAAAATTTGAACTGCAAAAATTTTATATTTTTAGTACTCTCTATAAAACTGGTGTCATAAAAATGTAGTACTTTTTGCTCTTCGAATGGCTGGAATTGTCATTCTTTTGAATTTTTTATTTTTGAATTCCTTGAAAAAATGTGAAATTGAAAAAATGTTAATTTCGAAAAAAAAATTTCTTATCAATAAAAATTCAAAATAGAGTTTTTTTGAGTACTTCCTGTGATCATAATCATAAAAAAAAAGAAAACATAATCATAAAAAAAAGAAAAAATGGAAAACAACAATTTTGAAATTTTGAAAAAAAAATTCACAGTCAAAAATTATAACAGCTCCCAAAGAGGGCACGCTGGGCTGAGGAAAAGCCGCGCATTGTATACGCCATCTCCCCCATTCCTTTGTTGCGTGCCGTGGTGTAGTGGCTAGCTCGCCAGGCTTTTGCCCACAAGGTCGCTGGTTCGAGTTCGCTTGCCGATAACTTTTTTTCCTTTTTTCTACTTTTGTGTAGTCTAGAAATACGTTTATTTTGAAATTTTGGAAATATTAACTCCTTCAGTTTCCATAAATATTTACATTTTCAACTTCAAATTTCCATTTTTAGCTTTTTTTAAAGCTCTGTTTTCTATTTGTCACCTACTTTTCAACCAACCAAATAAAAATTAAAGCACTTCCTGTTATCAATTTTTTTTCAAATTTTAATGTTAAAAAAGTGTCTTATGACTAGTAAAGTAACCAAAAGAATTCAGAAAACGCCCAAATAACAGTAATTATTTACTTCAAAACTAACAACTCATGACAAATTCCTTCCGGTTTAATCAGAGAGCAACAATACCAGCTACTTAAAGGGGTTTTATTTAAAAGAAAACTAATAAAACCAGTTCTAGACCTTTTAAAAAAGCCGAAAAAAGAACTTTGCAGTCAGCCGGACTCGAACCCGCGACCTTGTGGGCAAAAGCCTGGCGCGCTAGCCACTATACCACGGCACGCAACGGAGAGAGTAGGGGGAGATGGCGTATACAATGGGCGGCTTTTTCGAAGCCGCTTGCCCCCTCTTTGGAGCTCGTGTGTTTTAACTTTTTGACTGTAATTTTTTTTTCTGAAGTTAGTTTTGCATTTTCAGACAATTTTCTACACAAGAAATGTCTGAAAAATGGAATAAATTAGTCAAAAAACATAATAATAACGATGAGCAATTCCAGACGAAATTGGAATTTTCTGTTTTGTATATTTTTCTTTATTATTAATTTTCTTCGTCTTTTTTGTATACATTGAGGAAAAAAAATGAAGAAAGAAAGATATAAAAATGTACATTTTTCTCATATTCTTTTGTAGAAAATTTTCATTTTTCTTCTGTTTTGGAGTACTGTATTTTTCAAACTTCCTGGAACTTTTGAACTAGTTTCTGATGTAACTTTGCACTTTCAAACCATCACTTATTTGTAGTTTGTAGTGAATTTCACTACAAACTACACATTTCCAACTACCTATAACTTCTGGAAATCAAAAAAAAATATTTCGAAAAATATTTTTTTTCTAAAAATTCCCATATCACAATTTCTGGGAATTTTCCAAAAATTCAATAAAAGACTATTTTGCAGCCGCCCTCTCTCTCTTTTCCTATATTTGCATATTGTTCTCAATAGGCAAAATCGAAAAAGGGATTGCTGGAAAAAAAGGAATCGTTCTCTCTTTTTCCACCTCGGTTCTCCTCCGATTTCGATTTTTATGTCTTTTTTGTCTTTTTTTTTTGGAATGTGGAGGTTGAATTCTCTTTTGTTCCAATAGTTTTAATGGTTTTTAACTTGAAATTCTTCAAAGATAGGCTCAAATAGTGATTTTTGGGTATAGGTTTTTAAAACCAAAATATCTCAATTCCTGAAACAGATACAGAAAAGTAGTTGACTAATAAAATGCAGCATATGAAATTTTCTATATTTTATTAGTTAATCAATTTTTGATAGCTATAACTTGAACTGAGATATATAGAGTTAAAGTAGGCGGGGCCGGCGGCGCTCTCCTCCGCACCCCATGGGTCGGCGGCGCCCCCCTGGCGGAGGGCGCGCCAAGGGACCTTGAAAGGCCTGCTCTTTCTACCCCTATATCGTGGCTCCCGTTAAAGATACAAAAAAGTTTTAAGATACAAAAATGTAGCCAATTAAATTTCCTATACTTTATTAGTTGACAACTTCTTTCTATCTTTTTTAGAAATCAAGATAATTAAACTCAAAGTTGCAGTAAACAAATTGCACCTAAAAATGTCAGCTGAAATTAAACAAATATTTTTATCTTTCCCTTTTCAAATTTTGTTTCTTCTGGGAATTAGTTAAAGAACATTTATAAATAAACAGAAAGTGATTTATATTTTTCGATGTCTCTCCCCTCCTCACACTCTCTCTATTATCACTGATATCAATGGGTCATAAATTATCAGCCACTGTAACCCCATTAATTTTTTTTCTATTTCGTCGTTCATTCCATTCAATTTTGTTTAAAGGGAGGGGCATAGAATGATAATGATGATAAAAGAGAGAGAGAGAGAGTTCTGTCTGTGTGTCTATTTGTCCTAGCTGGTTAGGCTGGCCAAAATGGCGTTTTCTGGCGCCATACGCCGCTTTTAATTTTTGCACTGGCCGCCAGTGTCAGTTTTTAAAGCGGCGTGAATCGCCAGTAAAATTTTTTACTGGCATTAAACGCCAGGTTTTGAAAATATGAGTTTTTCAATAGAAAATACTTCATTGAGAAAAGATTGAAAAATCCAAAACAGTGAAAAGGAATGAAATTGATATTTTTAGACCTTCGAAATATTTGATGACTTCTGGAATTCTGTTTGAAATTCTGAAAATCTGGTGTCTGAAACTTCTGAAATTTTTTTCCAAATTTCAGAATTTTAAGAAGTCTATGATTTGTGTAATTAAAAAATAACAATTTATGGATTTCATGGAACTGTACTCTTTCCTGGAAATTTCCGGAACTTCGAATTTTCAGGATTCAAGTAATTTGAATTTCCCGGAAATTTCAGTATTTTAATTGTTTTTCAAGAACTATTTTCGGAGTTTCTGTACTGTCATACTTTACATTTTTGAATAATCAAAAATTTCTTAATTCCTAAATTTCCGAAATTTAAAATGTCAGGATCTCTGAACTTTGGAGTTTTTTAAAACCTGCATTCTGAAGTCCCGAGAATCAAAATTTACAACTTTAAATTCAAAAAGCCTAAATATATACTTCTGAACTAAACCTCGATCTAGACATAATCACAATAACTATTAATGGAAGACTAGTGGTAACTTCTAAAATACCAAATTCGTTCTAACATTTTATAATTCCCATTCTCACCCTTTAAACTCAATCATTTGACTTCTTGTGAAACATATGACAAAACTGTCAACTGCCAAAATGTTTTTCTTGGCATTTGGAGCATTTTATCAGTTGACAGTTTTCTTTTATCTTTCATAAGAACTGAGATAATCAAGATTGAAGCTACAGTAAGGGGATATTGGTGAATCAAAAGGTAAATTCAATTCTCAAAAAGAAAGCGGCGTTTGACGCCGGTTTAAATTTTGAACAGGCAAATATTGCCTGTTTAAAATTTCGCTGGTTTTTAATGCAAATCACGTGAAATTGAAAGGCCCATAACTCTGGCACTGGCGGCCAGCAACAACCCTATAGCTGGTATTCCACCCTCCAACTCAACTTACTTTGACCATAATTATCTCAAGTATTACAAAAGATACCAAAAAGGAGCAAGCTAGTAAAAGATAGGAAATTTAATTTTACACATTTTACTAGTTGATCACTTTTCAAAAAGTTCACCAGGAGCCGAGATATAGGGCTCTCAAGGCGCGCCACCTAAGAGAAGTGGAGGGTACCTCCACCTACTTTGACTTTAATTATCTCGATTTCTAAGAAAGATACCAAAACGTGATTAACTACAAAAATATAGGAAATTCAATTTTACACATTTTATCTGTTTACCACTTCTTTGTATCTTTGCCGTAAGCTGAGATATGTATGGTGGAAAGTGCAGAGCTTAGAAGCCCCCCCCCCCCCCCCTCAACTACTCAAAAATATGAAACCAAATTCTAAACATTTTGCTAGTTGACTACTAAAAACCTAAATTAATTAAGGTTTTAGTTAGATATATCAAAATTTATGCTCTTCAGATTTTGCAGCTAAAAATTTAGCTAGAAGTCAAGAAAACTATTAATTGTTAAACTTTTCGAAAGTAAAATTTTACTAGCTATCGAATGGTATAAAAATCAAGTATCTAGCAAACAAACTAATCGAGTTATGATCAAAAATTTAGAAGCTATTTTTTCAACGTTTTTGGAAAAATGTACTTTGGAAGTTTTAGCTAAATTTATAAGTTTTGTCTGTCCCCATTGATACTGATAACATGATAAATCCTACAGCTACCTCCCGAGCTTCGCGGTCACACTTTTGCCTTTTATGCTCCGCCCCTTTGGCCCCGCCCCTTTCGCTGTGTTCACAATTTAAACTTTGAGAAAAAAGGCACAGTAACCAAGACAACTTTATATATTTCTAGAAATCACCTGATTTCCTACTTCTCATTTTGATCATCAGTCAGTGCCTTCTTACAGTACAGTGTCGTCGTCGCGCTCATAAATTGACTACTCGTTGATTTATGGGCCATTTCTCTGCGTCTCTCACTCTCTCGCTCTCATTTTGACGAACCCATTAGACGGAACTTTTTATCTTGTCTGTATTTGGGTTTTATTCTTATCACCCTTATCACTATAGAAATCAGAGAAGAATCGGGGTGATAATTTCACTTTTTAGGGGGTTTTGAATTTTCAGTTTTTTTTTGGATTTTTCGAATTTTCAAGCTCAACTTTCGCTGGAACTCGAAAATTCTTAAATTTTTGAACTCAACTCATCAAACCGGTCAAAATAAGTATAATCATGTTATATTCCTGTAAATTTTGAAATTTTCCCTTTAAAGGCGCATGGACCTCAAAAATTTTGAAAATTTTGGAATTCATCTAAAAGCTATCGTGTTTTAGCTCATTTTGAAGCACTCAATGAGCTGAAATCAAAAATTTGCTTTTCAAAAAAAAATTTGGATTACTATAGTTTTAATTTTTTGCTTTTTTTCAATTTTTCGAAAATTCCAAAAATTTCAGAAATGGGCACGAAAAAAGTGTATACAGTGAATTCCGACGGGAAGCTTCCCCAGAAGCATTCGGAGACCTCGATGGCTTCTTCAGACTCGTCGAGTACGGTAGGTCACAAACTACAAACTACAAAATTTAAAAAATCATTGTTCTGTGACGATTCTGAGCAATGTTAGACATATTTGGAAGGTACACTTTAATAGTTCGCAAACTACAAACTACACAAATGTTCTGTTTTGTACTTTGTAGTTTGTAGTCTCCCACATGTACAAACTACAAAACTCAAAAATATTCCAACCCCTCTATCTTGGCTCAAAATCATCGTAGAAAGCTCATTTTTGGCTCAAAAAATTCCATTTTTTGTAGTTTGTAGCCAATAATGTAGTTTGTAGTATCACAATTCACATGGAATCTCATGGGCCATGGCGGCAGTGTTCATCGTTGGAGACATGATGGGCGCCGGAATGATCTCTCTTCCACTGTCACTTGGAAGAGCCGGGCTTATTGCTGGTGTCGTTTTGATCCTTTTGGCTTCATTATTTTCTGGATACACTGGAATTCAGTTGGGCGAGAATTGGGAGATGATGCAGGTCAGTTTGAACTTTAAAGTAGGCTTTTAGGATGATTTTGAGCCGAGTTATGGTCACTTTTAATTATTTTTTCGGTGTCCTGAAGCTTAGGCGGCTTTCTAGTTTGTAGTCTTCGTAGTTTTTGTAGTTTCTTGTGATTGTTAAGTTTTGAACGTTTCGTAGATTATTTTGGTTTTAAAATAAGAGTTCTACGACAATTTTGAGCGGAGTTATGATCAAATAAAATATTGTGAAAGTGGCTGTCTTGCCTTTGGCGCGAAACATCAAAAACCATACTGTAACTCGCTTCGTAGTAGAGCTAGAAAGCTCATTTTTGTTTTAATAAAAATTTCAACGAATTTCAGATATAAAACACCTAAAATGTGAGCCTATCAGACTAAGTCTGTGGTGCCTTCTGCGCATTTTCCTTCGTCCAAACTGTAAAAAAGATAGAAAATCCTAAAATAGTCGTAACTGAACTCGAAGAAAGTATAGTAGAAGCTTGATTTTTAACCCGAAATACTTCCATGTTCTTGTAGTTTGTAATCTACTTAAACTTTTCAGATCCGGTGGCCAAAGTACCGTACCCATTGCCGTCGGCCGTACCCAGAGATGGCGTACCGAGCGTTGGGAAATTGGGCGCGACAAGCGGTCGCTGTCTGTTTGGTTGTCTCGCAATTTTTGATTGCCTGTGTACTTTTGTTAATTTCTGCTGAGAATTTTACAAATCTACTGAACACTTTCTTTGGGTAAGTAGGGGAAATGAGAGAAAAAAAAATGAGTAAAATTTCGAAAATCTCAAAAAAAAAAGATGAAAAATGACCGGATTTTAAGGGTTTTCAAATTTTTTCGATTTGCTTGAAAATTTCAGAATAAACAAAACATATATAAGGCTTCATTTTTGTAGTTGACAGCTTTTTCTGAAAACCGAGTCCTTGGGAGATATGCCACGTAGAAAAGAGGTGGTGTATTGGCGCCCGGCGGCGCCTAGTGGTCGGTGGCGCCTTGAGGCATGCCCTCTTCCACGTGGCATATCTCTTCAGGACTTGATTTTCAGAAAAAGTTGTTAAAAACAAAAATGAAGCTCTAGTTTTGTTTAGTACAATCATAAAATTTCAAAAAATTCCCTTGAGATTGAGCAATCTTACTGTTAGGTCTGTCTAGTCCCTGGGGGAGCCGGGCGGAATCAAAGGGGGATGGAATATTGTTTGGTGCTAGGAATTCGAATTTTAGAATGCTTATTTTTCAGCCTCCATCTAGATTTCTGCATTTTCATTGTCGCTATTGCTCTGGTTCTCTGGCCATTCTCAATGCTCCAATCGCCAATGGATTTCTGGCAACTTGCAGTGATTTCGGCACTATCTAGTACCGTGGCAGCAGGTTTGTGCATCATAGCTCCCCAGGACCTGATTTTCCGAGAAAACTGTCAACTAGCAAAATAACGCTCTTGTTTTGTTTAGTCTACTCTAAAATTTTCTATGAATTCGATTTTGTTTAAAGTATTTCCCGAGACGTTTGAAAATGTCGATTATTCGGTTAAAATCGAAAATAACACAGGAATTTTCAGTTCCAAAGTTAACTAATTAGAACTTATCGGATTTTTTTTGAAAATTTTAGATTAGACCAACTTAACCAGAGCTTCATTTTTGTAGTTAACAACTTTTTCGAAAAATCAAGTCTGAGGAGATATGCCACGTGTAAAAGGGC